AAATGCCTGTGTAGGAACATCAAAGTTCCGGCCCCTGCTTTTTTTGTTCAAAGTTCTTGTCCCCAGCATCCATCCCAAACAGACGAAAGACGGCTGCACGGGTGGCGGGCATCCTCAGCATCCCCAGCATCCCCAGCATCCCCAGCATCCCCAACATCCCCAGCATTCCCAGCATCCCCAACATCCCAGCATCCCCAGCATCCCAGCATCCCCAGCATCCCCAGCATCCCCAGCATCCCCAGCATCCCCAGCATCCCCAGTAACCCCAGCAGCAGCCCGTCATCCCATCCCATCCTTGCACCCTGCAAGTCTCCAAACCTAACCTAGACCACGCAATTCTGTACCAGATCACCTAATACCAACTCCAAGCCTTGAATAATGAATAGCACAACTCTAAGAAAGGTCAGCGCTGTGAGCGCTGAGTTTTCCAAAAACACTGGTTGACTTTCCGTGAGTTGACTGTACTTTAGCCACACGTGTAGCAAGTCTGTCATTTGCATAATACACACAAACAATGCCGTGTAAATCATACCTCCTGATTTGTTTGCTCTCTGGCAATCTTTAGTCTGGAGCAAAGCCTCTGTCTGAGAGATGTGTTCTTGTCGTCCCCACGTAGCCCATATTCCTTATCAACAGGGATTTGATAGAAAATACATATACTGGGTGAGACACTGAATGGTTCTGGCAGGGTAGGCACGGCAGAAGCATTAAAAAAACACTCTAAGCAAATGCAAAATTGCCCAAAAACCTCGAACGTGTTGGAAATTCTCAAACATTAACAAACTCGGCAAACACAAAATTATCAAAGCAACCTCGGAAATTCCAAAATCCCAAATCTCAGCCACTATGTCGAACTTCTACAGGGCAACCATCTCAACTGAGCAAGGGAACATCCACCTTCTTCGCGCAAGGAAGTTCTTCTGGCTGCATTCAAGTTGTGAAACACGAGCAAAACATGTACATTGGGTGTTGAACAAATGCTTAGGGGACCTATCTGAGGTGACAGTTCTTCAGCGATCCGTTGGCAAAAAGATCGCAGGGGTTCAAATCCCCAAACCAATCCCAACAACCTAAGGGTTGCCTGACTATCAACCCCTGGGGCGCTGACAAAATCGGGACCCCAAGTTGAAAGAATGTCGTCACTCCCCCCGAGCCGCGGTCAAATCGCACAAGCTGACACAAGGGCATTGGAAGTTTACAGTTCTTTTGACACGGCATCCTGTTTATTTCCAAGATCGCTGTCAGCAATCCGGCAAACAGAACTAGGGATCAAACTCCCAAACCGACTATCAACCATGCGCGAGGCGAAGTTGGCGTCCCTTTTGCGCCTTCTTCGTGGGGATTCTGTTGGATGGGTCAAATGCAATTTTGGCGAAACCGCCTCATTCCAATCGCCCAAACTGACAGAAGGGCCTTGGAACACTACAGTTCATTCCACACGGGGAGGAACCATGGCCGGGAAGGGGATGGCAAGCCCCCGATCATATTATATGTGTAATCCCATTTGTGCAGGGCCATGTTGTGGTGTGCCTTTTAACCATTTGATTTGTGGGAGACGAGAATGAAGGGACCCCGAAAAGAAGAAAGTATCCAAGTTTCTGCAGGGTCAAAAGGGGTTTGATGTTCAACCAAGGGGCTGGACGGGTTGGCAGCCAACATGCAAACTCACCCCGAGGAATACGCGAGTTCTCTCCTGGCAGAGGTAGCAGAAGAGCGTGACCTGAGCAAAGAACCATGGGCCATACGACCCAAGGGGGTGCATCAAACCTTCTGATGCGGACAATGGTCATAGTTTCCTTAGGAAGAACCTTACAACGGCCGTCTAGGCTCCGGACAATTGCAACAATCGTTCTAGAAAGCAAATTGAAGCTGTCCAGGCATTCTCTCATGCTCACTGCAACATTTAAAAGGCCCGCTTGCCATACCCTGAGTTTGAAGCCGATTGCAACATGTGGGGAGGGAAGGGGATGAATGACGGAAGCCAACATGGACTGGACAAGTGACTTATCTGAGAAGACTTTATGAACAATTGTTCATTGATTACTGGGCTGTCCTCAGATCCCCCGCTAAAAGTTTAACTTTTGGTGGGTCAAATGGAAAACCCCACTAAACGCTAAAGGCTAAAAAGCTAAGGGGATGGCTGAGAGCCACCAAGATTATAATTTGATAATCCAGAAAGTTGAAGCATCTGACTCACACCCCGGACCTTGACCTGCACAAGCACCCAACAAAAAGTCGGGTCCATGACTGTCCCTACCCGGAGTACATGGGTTGTTTGACCATTGCAAATTAAGGGTATGTCTTCTTGTTGAGGCTATTTGTTTTGGGGTGGAGAACCCCCCCCCTGTAAGGACAGGTGTATTGGAACCCTCCCAACCCCAGACGAAGAATCAGGGCGCATCGGGTTTGTTCTATACGGCTTTTCACAGACTTTAATTGGCAAGAGGTCGCTATTTGGGTGTGTCTATTTTAGGGCACCTTCAGAAATGTGGTTTTGTCAGCGGGCTAAGGGAATCAATCTGAAAATCCACCCAATTTGGGGGGTCCCAAAGAAATACCCAAAACCCGCCCAACAAGGCAGGAAGACCCTTTTGCGAGTTGCCCAGACCACATGGGTGACAAAATGATGCTGCCGAGCCCGCAAAGGGCTGCTTGAGAGTATATTTGACACTTCCCCTTTTTTCTCGCTTGGGTTGGGTCGCCGTAGGGCCTGGAACTTGTTCACCCCAAAATGGTCGCCTTCACGTTACAACCCCCGCCCCCCTGAAAAAAAAGGACGACCTTCCATTGAGCCATTTACATGGAACCGAGAAAGTGTTATTCCTTGCAGGGGGAATCCTTTGAAACCTTGAAAACCGGGTTCCCTTGAAGGGACATCCTTGGATGGGACCCTTGGTGAAGCTACTGACATGCGACTCTCGTTTGATTCCTCGCCTTTCCATTTGCTTCAGGCACCAGCCGGTTTCTTCTTCTCCGGGTCATTTTTCTGTTCAGAAAGACCCGTGTGGAGATCAAGGAGGGTACTTGGACATTCCCTCCACCTGGTAAGTTCGTTATAAACATCTTTATGTGTCAACCAACTCTTGTAGTCAACCACTTACCCACTTGCCATGGGTACATCCACAGCTAGAATTTGTGCAAATTACAACGAGCTTGACAACGAGCTCACCCATGATGAATATCCTTCCTTTACTAGGGGATCTCCCAATGTCCAGTTTGGGAAATTATAGTCATTCGGCCAGCCAAATGCAGTTTCTTGGTGAATCCTTCTCAAGGGTCTCCCCTCGAGCCAGCAACCAACCCCCCCCCCCCCGCACAGGACCCAACCCTAGTAAGCTGGCGGCAAAAATGGGATCAATGAAGTTGATGTTGGCGTAGGCCCCCTCACCATCCAACATGATGTGGAGGAAGTCGAAGGAACCTTCCAAAGGATCTCGACGACACCAAACAAGCAAAAGGAAGGGAGAGGTCGAAAACCCCTTTTCTTCAACACGAAGCTTCTAACTAATCCACAAAAGCTTGGGTGATTTTTGTCGGGGTAGGGGCCACCTGAAAAGGTCAGTGGCGTCTGATCACCTCCGGTTGTTGTTCTACGACACCAAAAACGCTTCCACCAAAGGCAACATGCCGAGCGCAAGTCTCAATCCACTGAATGTTCATCTACCAGTAGTATTTGCGTAAAGAAAACGCTGGTCGACTCATGGAAGCTTTCCGGCGGGTGCTTCTTCACCTTCATTGCATGCAACTTGTGCAAAGTGAAACAATTGGCGAAGCCCCCTCCAGCCGACCCGCGACAAGCTGAGCTTAAATGCAAGCAAGGAAGAGAAATTGAGAGAAAGCTTTGTTACTTGGTCAACAACCCAACATATGGGCGTGTCTTTTTTAGCAACCTCGTTTAGACCGTCTTGAAACCAAAACAAAAAATCGACCACCAGGAGTCCCTTCATTTGGAAACAAACCCAAAAACAACAGAAGAGGGCCCGCTTCTGACCTGCATGTGTTTTTGCATGGGTGCAAGGTTTGAAGGGAAGGAAAGCGACACCCTCCAAAAATTGTTGCTACATCACCGGAAATTGTGCGCTTTTGGACAGTTGGGAATCCACTGCCATCATCTTGCAGCAAAAGTCCGTGCAGGAGGAAGTCATGGGGGTTGGGGAGCCCAGATAAGGGCAAAAGAGGGCTTAATATTCACTTATTCCTGCCCCCCCCTCAAACATCTCGGATGAACAGGCATGGGTGTTCCCGGAAAAAACATAATAAGAATAAGAAGAATGGTAACAATTATCATGGAAAAAATATGATAATAATAATAATAATAATAATCATAATGGTAATAACAATAAAACCAAGTCGTCAACTTGAGGCAGGAATATCCAAGCTCCCGATCAGTTTTAAGATAGAGAAGCCCTCAAATGGCTAGGACCGTTTGGGTCCGCGATTTGGGTACGGGTCAAGATTAAACTGGGACCGCGGATTTCAGTCCTTGGTATATTTACCAGGTTCCATTTCGGGCACCTATGTTTGACCCACAGCCATTTGCTGGCTTCGAAAGATGTGTGCAGATTGCACATTCTGGATTCCTTTTTCAGCACAATTACCATCAGGGTCCGCCATTTGACACGCCATGACAAACCCGAAAAGTGGAGAGTCCCGATCGTCCCATTGCACATTTGATTGCAACAGCCCGAGGGATCATCCTTTCTGTGGTATGGGTGTGACGCTCAAAACAACCAAAAGGAAACCACCCTGGAAACACCCATACGTTTACCGGGATTCAAATATGACCATGTTACAAAGACAATGAGCACACAGAAAATGGCAAACACCTCACTCCCAACAAGAGCTGATGGCACCGGCAACCAAGTTCCGAGCACGGCTTGCACTGTCTCCTGACCCTGTGTCCGTGAGGAAGGTGATTTCCTTCATCTAGCTACCCTGTTTTGAGGGGTCCCTTTTTGATTGTCTTTCTTCGCCAACAGAAGACCAACCATTTTTCGCTATTTTGAGACATACCCATCTGCCCCTGCACCATCACAAGCTCTCGAGACTGACTTGCTTCACCACTTCGTAGGCTCGCTGAGTGATGATCCGGGCATTGACAACAAAAAACTAATCAAAAAACAAACAAATAACACCAAAACAGGGAAGGGCCAACAAACCCAACAAACACAGAAAGGAAAGGCAAAAAACAAAAGAAGTTTCAGATTAGGCAACCTTTCGAAGGGCAGATTGAGGTTGCAGCTTACCCTGCCGTAGGTTGAACAACCGAGCAGTGAGGCCATCCGAGAAGTGGGCTTGGTTAACGTCTCACCCACTCTGAGTGGGTTGAACAGTCAAGGATCGGAAGGGCCAAACAACAAGAAGGATCCAGAAGGCGAAAACAACAAAAAGTAACAAGAGGTATCAACTCCAAACAATCACACACCTTTAGGAGGACTTGTTGATCTTCAGGATGCGGCTTCCTTATCTCAATTCTCCTTACCCCAGGTCAACCGTCCTTGGGTTCCGCTTCCCTTTGGTGGCTTGCAAAGATTGATCCGAATCCAAACCGTCAATAAGGATGAGCCTAACCTGGCTAGGTAACAGTCCCAAATAACACCCTAACTGGTTGTCCTAGGTTGTCCTCCCCCCCCCCCCCCCCAAAGAAAAACAAAAACGGGTAAACCCTATGGAAAAGCCATGCGTGAGCCTAAAACCTCCTGTTGGATCACGTGAAATTGAGAGGAGCTGCTCAATCACCCCCCATGTTCCCGGGGCAACGAAAAAAATGAGATAAAACTGGCCGGGATCCTTTGGCCCAAACGACGCCAAACATCGCCTCGCCCACGTCGAACGCTCCTCAGCCCTCAGCGCGCCTCCCAGGCCCCAGCAGTCCAGCTGCTGGAAGAGCCCCGTGCCCGTGGTCTCCGGCGCCAGGCCCGCGAGACGCACCTCGAATCGAATCAAATGCAGAGAAAGCTGGCTCAGTTGGGGGGTTCTCAAAATAGGTGTTCGTTGGTGTTCCTGTGTGGGGGGGGGGGGGGTCCTCAAAAAAGTGTTGTTCTTGGGTGTTCGTTTGGTTTTCCATTGCTGTGGGATCTCCAGTTCGGTCCCCCAAACCACTTCGAGTCCTTTTGGTCTCCCTTGAGATACCAGCCAAAAGGGCTAGATACCGAAACATAACTGGTTGGTGATCGGAAACCTGCATTTTGCTCGGTTGCGGTCCGTTGGCAATCGGGCAAATGATCATCCCCTGCTCAGCAGCTTGTGCTTGAACCCAGCCAAATAAGTCAAGAGCGCGTTTCTGTGAAAGCAAACAGACTTGTCGTAAAATGCTCAGGGTCCCGTTTTCTAGGTGTTTGGCTGAAGCATGGGGTATTGAACCTCAAGTTGGTTCACAGGCCACGGGAACGGATTCTTTGGATCCCGAAACGGAAACCTCCGAGATGCTTCTTTTCCCAGAACCTGAGATCCAGCAACTTGGTTCAATAGTCTACCATGGAAATAACCGGTAGAACAGCCAAGGAATTGGACCTGGGTTCAAGGTTTCTTAGATCCACCTGAAACTTACACCATGGTGTTGTTCCTCAAGTGATGTTTTCTCATGGCCCAAGTTGGATCTTCAGACTTGGGACTGGCGCTGACAGAAACCTCCAGTGGGGCACGCACGGAGCTCAAAGGAAGGCTCGCAAACCATTCATTCTGCAGCCAAAGAAATGCGAGACACCCACATTCTGCACCCACACCAAACCATGTTGGGGATGTGGAATTTTGCTTGGTGTTTAAAGGAAAAACAAAAGGACACCCTGCAATGCCTGGCGATGCCCAGACAAGTCGCGGACAGACTTAGATGTTCTGGTTGCTAACGAAGTAGTTGCGCCCAGTGAATCCCCAGCTAACCCAAGAAACGAAACCTGCGGGAAAGCCAGAAAAACTGGGGTATCTGACAATTTCGTTGGCTCCCAATGTGGAGTTGTTGCCTTGAAAGCAAGGTGACAAGGGTACCTTCCAAAAACCACTTCGCCATGTTGAAATCCGCGGCGCGGTGGTGATACCCAGCTCCCCGGAGTCGTGCACGCCTGATTGAAGCAGGTGTTCTTAGCTGATAGGCCGATAGAATGAGGGTTGCGGAGCACCTAAAAAAAGGAATTTGGAGATGATTATAAAAGTGTAGTGGTAGTAGTAGTAGTAGTAGTAGTAGTAGTAGTAGTAGTAGTAGTAGCAGTAGTAGTGGTAGTAGTAGTAGTAGTAGTAGCAGCAGTAGTAGTAGCAGTAGTAGTAGTACTAATAGTAGTAGTACTAGTAGTAGTAGTAGCAGCAGCAGCAGCAGCAGTAGTAGAAAAACCAACTCGGGGAAAAACAAAAAGTCACAAGTTCTGAAGCAAATGGAAGGCTAGCCAACAAACCAACTAAGGGTTTCCTGATGTGGCCAAATCCACTTGGCGTCAACCTCCTCAACTTTCCTCAAAGCTGAAAATTATATTTCATTCTGGCAATACTTAAACCTTAGAATGTCCAAATGCCGGTTGACAGGTCCCAGACATGGTTTTTAAAACTGGTCATGTGTCACAATCAAACCTGGTAATTCAGGAGTCTACCAAACAACCATGTACTCAAAAGCCCGGATATCCGAAGCTATCTGTGGCGACTAGTCCCTTACCTTTTCCGGGTTCAGATCAAGCGGGTCCTTTTTCGTGAGGCTTCCGCATGCCCTTTGAGTCCACATGCAAACCGTTCTTGCTTGGGTTTGTGTCCTCACACTCCCAAAACCTCACAGAATCGGATCCAAGGGCACTTGTCCGAATGCCCCAAACCTCGCCCGCGGATTCTTCCAGTCACAAAGGCTCAGTGGCGGAGGGTGGTACCCAAGCGACCCACCAAAAGAAAACGGGGGGGCTAGCAAGGGCCACTACCCCTATATCTAGAGATGCCCAGATGCCCCTGGCGGGTTCCCTACAAAACCGCCACGTGTGTCTCTCTCTCTCTCTCTCTCTTTCTCTCGCTCTGATTGTAAAACGTAATAGCAGCAAGGTTCGATTCGGGTCATTCCATTCCCTGAAAGCAGCAAAAGTTCAGGGACCCCAAAAAACTTTGCAGCAAAAAACTTACAAACGCCGATGCTCGAACCAAACAACTCGCCGCCTTCCCCCCCTCCAACCTCCCCCCCTCCAACCTCCCCCCTCCAACCTCCCTCCCCCCTCCAACCCTCCAACCTCCCACCCCCCTCCAACCTACCCCTCCAACCTCCCTCCAACCTCCCCCCTCCAACCTCCCCCCTCCAACCTCCCCCCTCCAACCTCCCTCCCCCCTCCAACCTCCCTCCCTCCAACCTCCCTCCCCCCTCCAACCTCCCTCCCCCCTCCAACCTCCCTCCCCCTCCAACCTCCCTCCAACCTCCCCCCTCCAGCCTCCCTCCCCCCTCCAACCTCCCTCCCCCCTCCAACCCTCCCCCTCCAACCTCCCCCTCCAACCTCCCCCCTCCAACCTCCCCCCTCCAACCAACCTCCCCCCTCCAACCTAACCTCCTCCAAAAAACTCCCCCTCCAACCTCAACCCCTCCAACCTCCTCCAACCTCCCCTCCCCTCCTCCCCCCCTCCAACCTCCTCCAACCTCCCCAACCTCCCTCCCCCCTCCAATCCTCCCCCCCCTCCAACCTCCCCCCCAACCTCCAACCCTCCAACCCCTCTCCCTCCAACCCTCCCCCTCCAACCTCCCCCCCTCCAACCTCCCCCCTCCAACCAACTCCCCCCCCTCCAACCTCCCCCTCCCCTCTCCAACCCCTTCCCTCCAACCCCTCTTTTTCAATTCTTTCCAACCTCCCCCCTCCAACCTCCCCCTCCAACCTCCCCCCTCCAACCTCCCCCCTCCAACCTCCCCCCTCCAACCTCCCCCCCTCCGACCTCCCCCCTCCCCCTCCAACCTCCCCCCTCCAACCTCCCCCCTCCAACCTCCCCCCTCCCCCTCCAACCTCCCCCCTCCAACTTCCCCCCTCCCCCTCCAACCTCCCCCCTCCAACCTCCCCCTCCAACCTCCCCCCTCCAACCTCCCCCCTCCAACCCCCTCCAACCTCCCCCCCTCCAACCTCCCCCCTCCCCCTCCAACCTCCCCCCCTCCAACCTCCCCCCTCCAAGCTCTCCCCTCGCCAACAAAAAAGGAACCTCCCAACCTCCGAGCCTTCCCCCCACCCCGCGGCCCCGCGGCCCCTCGGCTCGAGCTCGGCGCGGCTGCGCCTAGCTCCTGGAGCTGCTGCGCCAGCGGCACGAACTCCGGCGCCGAGGCGCCCAGGCGGCTGCCGCCCTAAAGGAGGGCGGGGAATGGAGGTGGACGGCGGATGGCGGATGGAGGGGGAGACGGGGCCCCCAAAAAAAGGGATCCGCAAAAAAAAAAAAAACGGAGTTCCAAACCTGGCCGAAAAGGAAGGAAGCAACAGTTTGTTTGTGCCAACTTGGTGGTGCTAAACGGCATGCAGCGGCCCCAAGGATACAAGCTCCGGTCAAAAAGCAAAGGCCGAAGCGGCCTCATTTTGCCAACCCGATTGGAAGCTTCGGAGGTGTTCCGAGGGCCTGGGAATGGCTTCTGGCTAAAGGAAGATGGGCTTAGCCTTCCTCCACGCACCGGTGTGAGAGCGCCATGTTCGCGGGAGGGAGGGTACAAGAAACAACTGTACGCCTCAAATACTGTAACAAGCACATTGCCAGTGGCGTTCATGTTTCACCATGCTGCATCAGCTAAACTGTGCTCGTGATGCTATGAGCCTGATAGGTTTCAAGGTAGCTTCCAAGAATCCACTTTAAGTCTCTTTTAGTCATCCACTTCACATCGTATGGATTGGCAAATTCCGCTTCGCACTTCGCAGGGATAGTGATCCGCCCCCCTTCCCATCTGCCATTTGAGGGTACCCTTTGGTGGGAAACAACCATGTTGGGAGTCGAAAATCCAATTTTGACACACGGCGTGTCTTTTTTGGGGGTACCCCTGTTTTTCTGGTAAAGGAAACCAAAAGCAAAACCGAAACGCGCCATGTTGAGTCCCGTTCCGAATCCTAAAGGACGAGCCACCCACCCCCATCCACCTCCATCCCATCTCCGCCTCGTCCGACTTCTTGGCCCAGGGTGCAACCACCTCCGACCAGGCCCTTGGCTTCTTCGGCTCCGTCTTCGACTCCTTAGGCTCCTCCATTGGGCAAGGCGCCCAATCCGGAGCCCCTCTGGCGAAATTGCTGGCCGACCTTTCTCGGTTCAACGGAGTCGTCATTTCTACCTCTTTGCTTTTCCCGTGCTGAAGAAAAAATATGATTGGTCGCTGGAGCCAAGATTTTGGCTCCTTTAGAGAAAGGCAGGGGCAGCTCTGGGTGGCTACCAGTTGATACACTTTGGCCTTGCAATATGTGTCACATTTACCAGAGGTATCGCATTCTCAGATATGTGGCCATGGGTCAACATCCCAATCCAACCACTAAAATAGGTTCTAAAATGGGTGAATTCACCTACCAACCAAAATGGGATCCCAAAACGGTTTTGACCACCACAGCCATGTATCTCCTGCGACCCGGTCCTTCTCCTTGGACTCTTTGGACTCCTTGGGCTCTTTGGTCTGCTTACTCGGCTGACTCATCTGACTCCGCTGACTCATCACGCGCGAGGGACCCGCCGGATTCGCCGGCCGCGGGTTCGCCGGCAGCGGGTTCGCCAAAGGAACCTCCCTGCGCTTCGGCTCTTTCGGCTCCCTGGGCTCCTGCGAACCATCCAAAACAGAAAAACACAAAACATCAGGAACTGAAGCAAAGGACAAAAAATCAAAAAGAAGAAGAAGAAGCAGGAACATGCGGAGTTGTGGGAGTTGCCACCAAGGGCGCATTCTTGAATTAGCGCAGATAAACCCCACGCAGTCAGGTATTTGCTGGGTTTCGGGGCGGACCCAGTGACAAAGTGGACCCTAGCAACATGGAATCCCCCGAAAGTCTAAAATTCCACATAGAAATTGCCTTTTGGTCACAATGAAGCTGCCCACAAAGGGAAAATGTGAGAACTCATCTTTGAAAAACGCACATCCAAAAACTGATTGCCCTTGCACCAACACGGTACCCTCTGAAGGAAATGATTCCAAACCAGAGCCTTGCAAGGTTTCGTCAGCAGACTGGGAGGGTACTTTCTGCGGAAGCCGGTCCTTGGCCGTTGTTCTTTGCAAAAAACAAAAACACGCTAAAAGCCCGTGTTCCCTGTTTTCCCTGGACAATCACAAAACACGAAAGCTGCTTTGCGTCGCCCGCGCTCGCACTCGCTTTTCGGGTCCTTGGCTTCCATCTTCTGCTTCTGGCGCTTCTCCTCCACGGGCTCCACCCGCTCGGGGACTCGCACGCGCTCGGCGCGCTCGCTGCGCTCGGTGCGCTCGGAGAGCTGCTGCTGGAGCCGCCGTGAGGCGCTCTTCTTGGAGCGGCGGTGCTCGAAGCCATTGGGGTCCGAGTCCTACGCGCGCGTTCTGGGAGGGCGGTTTGGAGGATGGGGAGAGGGCGAGAAGCTAGGAAGAAGCGAAGCCGGAAGCAAGGTGAGCTAAAAGCCACCGGAACTTGGGGATCGGGGCCACTAGCTCCTGAAGCTTGCTGGTGCGATAGGCGCGGAATGGGGGAATGAGTGTGGTTTGGGATCAAAAGGTGTATTCCCAAAACCCCTCTTCGTTCCCTACTGAGAATCAGCCAGCAAGCCTTGGCGCCTTTTGGCCAGGGGTCCAGGGGGTCCAGTCCCTTCTTCAGAGGGATTACCACCTCCATCCCATGAAGGCGGAATTGTGATGAGTGCTCACGAGGAGCGTTGGAAGAATTCCCCCAAAGGCGCAACCAGTATGTAGAGAGATGTCTACTAAGCACGGAACTCAGCATGCCACCAAGCAAAACCCCAGAAAACAAAGCCAGGCCTGCGCACGCGAAACCCCCAATGGAACGCAAACATGACGAGCATTCATGCAAAGCCAAGCCTGCACCCACGCAAACCCCAATGGAATTCACATGAAAAGGTCAGGTCTGCTTGCGCGCGCGCGTGCACTGCAGCATGGAAAGCGACGCATGAAGGGGTGGCAAAAAGGGCATCCAAAAGGACGTCAACGACAACGTCAAAATGACGTCAGAACGATGTCAAAACAACATCAAAACAACGTCAGAACGACGTCATAACGACGTCAGAAGCATCCCGGCGACAGGAACACGTGCGATTTGTGTAATAACAAGGGACAATCATCTTGAAACTCAGACCTGCGCAGTGAAGCCCACGTGGAAAGCAAGAAGCAAAAGCATTGCGGTGGGTCTTTCAGCATTTCATGCCCGTTGGCAGGAACGCAACAAGCACTGATTCTGGTGGTGTTTGAAGCAGTTCATGCCCGTTGCCAGAAAACAAAGGCTGTCGCATACAAAACCCCACCTGAACACATTGCATGCCCGTTAGTTGGCAGGTACAACCCCCCACATGAACGCAACGCAACACAACATGCACAAGCACCTTTCAGAAGAAAAACAATGCTGAACAACATTGATGCTGATGGACCCTTGCAGCGTTTCGTGCCCGTGGGCAGCAAATGCAAAGTTGCTGTGCGCGAACCCCTACCTGAACACAAGCGGGCAACTTCGTAAGTTGGCTTCCCCCACCTGATTTGAACACTCAGCGGGTGGGAGGTCGGGGGTTGCGAGCAGTGGTTCTCTTTGAACACAGGGTTCCCGAATGAGCAACATGACTCAACATCGAAGAAATACAAGTTCAGGTGCCCAGGGGTGGGAATAGTTCGGCACCCGGGGAGGGTTCCAACATGCACTCCTATTGACATGAGCGTGTCTTTCGAGCACCCCCAATGACGTTTCCTTTGGGTTTTCTCCTTAACCACAAAGAAGGCACCCTGGAAAGAAAAGCCGTCGGACCAGGGCCTATGCTATGGGCCCAGCGGGCCCTACCGCACGACTTCACGGACCACTTCCGCCTCTTCCCTCGTCGCTTCCTTCGCTTCCGCCTTCTCGGTGTCCTTCGGGGCGAACCCCAACCCGGCCGAGAAAACGGGCCGGAAAAGGAACGTCCCGTTTATAGGGGGAGGAAAGGAAATGGCACCGCGCCTAAACCGCGGAAGGGTTGGTTACCATCTGTGCCAGGGTTGGTTGTAGCGATTTGTTGTGCGCCCATCGAAACCCATGAGTACCTCCGAACAGGGCGCAACGAGGTGGTTTCGCTCCTTTCGGGGTCTCCCATTTTTTCGGGCACACTGATCTCATTTGGGGGCCCCGCCCAAAACCATGAAAGAAAGGAAAAACGCATTGTTGGGGACAAGCCCAAACAAAGATCACGCACTCGGTGCCTCCGCCTTGAAGCGCTTGGCCGCGGGCCTCTCAGCCGGAGGCACCTGACAGCGCGGGCGGTCGGTCCGGGGGGGGGGGGCATGAGTTTGGAACTTTGAGGCAGGCATGAATGGAAGGCTTTGGTTTTGTGTTTTAGGATAGCCTGGAAGGGGTGGGTTTGCTGTGAGTCAAAGGAGCCGCCCAAACCGGAATCGGTCCCCCGATTCAATCACTTCGCGCAGGTCAGGGCGTGGAGATGGATGTTACAACCGGGGAAGTAGGTAAGCTATGTGGGTCAAAACCGGAAAACCCGTGGTGAACATCTAAATAGGTGACAGGTGGTACATGGGTGTTCATCCGCCCCAACATGGAGGCATAGGTTATGACCCATGGCCATATACAAAAAAGGAAAACAAGGGTCATGCGTGGGACAGTGGGTATGTTTGAGCGTCCAAATGTTCAACTGCCTGGTTCTCGACAAATTGCTTCAAGTGGTGAGGGGTCATTCTCAAGTCAACCCACTGAAGCTTCAGAAAGGGTATCCCCAAAGAAGGGAAATCCTCTAAATATGACTTGTTGTTTCGGGATGTTCTGCTGAGATGTTCAAACCATGGTGGCAATGTTACCTACTTGAGTCATGGTTTGCAGGCGTAGGACTAAGGCTGCCTATTGGCTTTGATTTCTTTGCAGTCCAGAGTGGCTCGGGTCTGGTTTGGGGGTTGGGCTTGCTGAGGTCTTAATGAGGGCGGGTCTTGGCTTTGGCCTCAAACCACTAAACCTAGCCCAAAACTCGCGCACCTGAAGCAACCCGAAAGCCACGGCTAAACGAGCCGCAAACCTAGCACAAATCACGACCCAAAGTCAACCTTAAACCTCCCAACTGAATCCTGCATATCAGCCCTTTGCCAAGCCGAAATGAACGCCAAAAAAACAAAAACAAAAAACAAAAAGACCTGCCCTCATTAAGACCTCAGCAAGCCCAACACTGACCCCAAACAAGCCCCGAGCAACTCTGAACCGCCACAAAATCAAAGCCACTAGGCAGCCCTGGTCCGAGCGAGGCCAGTAATGCTGGGGATGCGGCTGGTTAAACCCGAGCAACTCTCAACTACCACCAAGTCTCGCCCAATACGCAGCCCTGACAAGCAACCAGGGATGCCGGGATGCGGCTGCCCAGCCGACCAACCAACCAACCAACCAACCAACCAGCCAGCCAGCCAGCCAGCCAGCCAACCAGCCAACCAGCCAACCAGCCCTCTGGCCGGGGTTAAGCCCCGAGCCGAGGCTAGTAAAAAGAAAAAAACACCGGTTCGCATGTGGGCTTGCCTCCAACATGTGGTGTTTCCTTTTGGTCTTCCTTAAAAACCGTCCCAACAAGCGTATCAGCTCCAAAACAGGTCCATATGTCTCAAAAATCGATGTGAGCCCAGTCAAAATATGCCTCTGGTCCACCTAACGGAATTATGTATTTTAAATTGAGTGATTCCCCCCGTGTCCTCCCAAATGAAACATAGACTGCTAGAAAACTTTCGCTGAACCTCATGTGAGCAGCGCCTTGACGTTTAAACCTGGTAGCAGAACCAGCTACTGAAATTGCCGATGGCGCTTCGGGCGCTGCTCACATGGAATGAAGCGGCATGTGCAGCTTGCCTCCAAGAAGAAACATTATCATCTTTGTGCTTCCAGCAAGGCCACGTGAGCCACAGACAATATTGATCTTGTCCCCAACATGGAGAGTTTGGGGAGCAACCCCCCCCCCCCCCCCGTGTCGTAAAGGCAGTTTGGGTGTGCTCCATGAAATCCCCTTCACGGCACATGAAAGCAAACACTGACCGTTGCTCACATCTTAAAAACCCCGAATGGCCGGTGGAATGGATGCCGGTTCCTTTCTATCTTTCTTTTTTTTTAGGGCGCTGATTCACATCCGGCACATGACTCAAACTTGGCAACCTACCCAAAATCTCTCCAACAGTCAACTCGCAGAAGGCCCTGCAACCCAATCCTTCGCATGCTCACAGACAGGAAATTCTACTTCGCCAAATACCCACCGAAAAAAAGAACAAAAAGAAGAAAAAACATAAGTTTGGGCGCTATCGAAAGAAAATAATTTCGAATCCTGGAGGTGTTCTATTGTCTCAAAGGACCTGGTCGCGGCCCATTTGTCACGACAAAACTCTGCCGTAGCTTCAAACCGGCGACTCGCACTGTACCCTCTCGGAGGGGGACTGGACATGCTGTTTATCTAAGGGACTTGCACATGTTGTTGATAACATTCCAAATGGCAAGGATCCTTTGTTCAGAATAAAACGAACTAAAAAAAGAAGGTCAAACCCACATTATACGATGATTTGGGTTTCTCGCTTTAGAGACAGGAGTCCTGACTTTGGCGAAGACCCCTCCCATCCACCAAAATGGAAACTGACAGGGGGTCTGGTTTGGCCAATCTTCCTCTGAAAGGGACCTGGTGGGTTTAACCTTGTAAAAGTAAGCTTAGAAGGTGATACCATAGCTCCATATAGGTCACCTTTTTTCAAAGTGAAGCGAACCAGTTCCAAGCTATATAGTCAGTTCCATCCGTTGCTGTACCTCCGGAAGTGGCACCGACCAAGCACGCCTCCACTTCTGGTTCCTCGCACCCTGGACAGCTCGGGGCGTTGGAAGCAAAACGAACATATGGTGTCTCACCCACAACAAAAAACAGCCATGTACCCCATTTTTGCTTGCCAGGCTTGCTAACCTCAGAAAAAATGGGCCATCCAAACGGGTGTTTTGTGGGGCAAACTCCTTTTTGAATGGTTTTGAAGGGAAGCCAACAGGAAGTTAACCACTTCGGGGTTCCCTAATTTTGCCGCACCCCCAAATCGCTCCAGGAGGCCTGCTCTCGATTCGTTCGCGGGGTCCTGAAATTGGGGGATTCCCAGCACCACAAACACACCAGTGCCATGGTCCTTTGGACGCGATTACTTAGAGACGGTAAAAAGGCAGACAAAATAAACGAATGGAGGAAAAATGCGCTTCCAGTCTGGAAATGTGGGAGTGCAAGGGCCTTCAAAAACGGTTGTTGTCTTTGCCGCTTTCTTTTGGGCCGACTGGGCTGCAAAACTCATGCGAAAACACACAGATCGTTCCATGTCGCTACTTGGACATTGGATGTACCCAAGCAAAAAACCGGCGACCCACGATTAATCCAGACCATGTGAATCAGGGGCTTCTCCTTCGGAGAGGTTCGGCATTTTGGGTGGGGGGATCCTCACGGTCATCCGGAGTCCAAGTTGACGTGGGGGCCCAGCCCTACCCGTCAGGCCCCAAGAGATACTCCCTGCGTAAACTGGCTGGTGCTTGGAAGCTCCATCTCGTGACTGCCCAACTATGGAAAACCACTTGCTGAGGAACAACTGAAACACACCACTGAAGGCCAACAAACAGGCTTGGACAACTATGGTCATGTACAAATGCCTGGGGGGGTCTTTTGCGAGATTGTTGAGAGGCGGCGCGAAAAGTATGATTATTGCACGCAGGTAACAAGAGCAACCTTAGGACTCACCATATGTTGTGATCGGTTTGCTTGATCGACACGTCCACCCGGCCATTCAGCAGAGGGAGCAAGTCCTCAAAAGAAGGAATCCAAGCACAGTCACTGCACAGGGACCATACTTGAAATTCCATAATTGGGGGGTATGAATCAGGAGTCCACAAGATAGGAGTCCACTGAAACCTGCATTGAAACCAACACAAGTTCAGAAAACACCCACTTGGATGTTCAACCCACTTAGTAGCTGATGCCTGGATAGCGCATCAGGGTTGGCGTATTGTATCCATGGTGATACTGTGGATCCACAGTATCACCTACTTGCCAGCTACCTCAACTTTTGCCTCCAGCTGAAAATGGCATGTTGAGATTCCGGTCCATATTTAGCGAACCTTAAGCTGTCAACGGATCTCACCTTTAAAGGTCTCGGAGTGGGACCGACCTGGGTTTCAACCCATTTTTCGAGGATACCCCGCCCCCTTGCGGACTCAAACCCGAAATTCCCATACCCTACACGCACAGGTGCAAAACTCTGTGGATGGACAACTAGAGGACGAGTGGCCCGGAAGCATAGAGGCAAGTTAGTTGTTAGCGATCAAGTAGTCTAGTCGCGACAAGCTGCACACAGACAGATTCCGCTTTTTGTCAGTAGCTCGAATATGGTACTAAAAGTTGAGGAATTTCATGCACTTCTCAGTGCAGGTTCTCCCTGCTCATCGCGATCTTGCCCACCATCATGTCGCGCGTGTAGATCGAGTGGCTCGGCATGTGGATCTCGATGATGCATACCATGCTTCGGGCGGCTCCAACATGAACAAACAGGCAGCAAGCAAACTACCGCGATGTTGATTTTTTTGCCGCGCTAGCTTGAACCAACCACCAGGCGCGTGGTGCGGAAGGCGAGGCGGGGGAGAACCGTCAACAAAAACAAGCGCTTTTCCTCTGTTCGCGCGAACACTGTTGACAAGAAACAAGTGCTTTGGAAAACCATGACAAAACATTCTTTCGAGCAAGCCCTCCTCTGTCCGCTACGCGCGCTGAAAGACACGCTCCGGTATCTCAAGGCTTGTCGTGAACAAGTGCCAAAAGAGCTAAGCAAGAAAACTAAACTTGTGGGGTCTACTTGTAACTGCGAAACCATGCCTCTGCGTCAGGTCGCGAACGTAGAGCTGCAACCACGGCTTCAAGCAGCTGGCTCTTGGAAAGCCGACTACCAGATGCGGGATCCCTCCGCTGCACGCCGAGGCCAGCTGCGAAGGCACGAAGCTTGTCCAGCTTCATCGAGCCATCCAGCTCAGCATGGAGCCAGTCTTGACCATGTACTGCTGCTTCAGCCCGTAAATGCTCAGCATCAGGAAGAGCATCCAAGGGATTCGCAGCCTGCTGCGCGCGCTGAAAGACACACGGTGGAAACCAACAGCGCAAGCCAAAAGTGGTAATTCCAAGAAACCAAGAGGGGTATGCGAAACAATCGTGCGCTCTCGCATGCCAACGTCCAGCCTGCGCACGTCGCTGGCAACCAGAATCCGACATGGCAACACGACACGTCGGAAATACCCGCCAGCGCCGCGCGACTCTGATATCTTCTGGCCACCCGCTGTGTGTAACTGCTTTGACAAGATTGGTGCGCCAAGGAAACGAATCCGCACTTCGGAAGATGCGATCTGAGCGATGACACCTTCTACAGTACTAACACGGAGGACTGCCTTGAGCATGAATGCACGTGCAAGCAGCAATGACAAGCGACAGCAACCTCATGGAGCACCCCTCCAAAAAATGAAGCATAACACCAACACAAAGAAGCCGTGTCGCCCTAATCAACTGTCGCCGCAAACATTCTCTGGGCAAGCTCCGCTACTGAGACACTCATGACATCCAAGCTTCGGCTACTATTGCTCTTGTCAGCTGCCTATCACTCCAAAATCCAACTGCGCATGTTTATTTTACAAGCCAATTACAAAAGCCAACTGCCCAATCTCACTTCACAAGCCAATGACAACTGCCAACTGCCCAATCTCACTTCACAAGCGAAATGCACTGTCCCAAAACACAAGCCAAATTTTCGAGTGTTACGTCACTATCCTAAAGCGCAAGCTAACTTCTCGGGCGTTTCTTCGGCATCGTAAAGCGCAAGTATTCGTTTTCAGGCGTTACATTGCAAGCCGACTTTTCCTTTTCTACCTTCTCTTCTCGATTCTGAGTTCTTTCTTCTTTTTCCGGCGGAGCTGGGGAGACGCTCTCCGCGCCGAGATAGGTCCGCAAGTGCTTTGTGCAAGCGCTCTGTGCAAGTTGCTCTGCGCAAGTTGCTCTGCGCAAGTTGCTCTGAGCAAGTGCTGCCGGAGCTGTGGGAATGTACTTCGCGTACTATTTTTTTTGTACTTAAAAGTTGTGATTTTCCAGCCGGAGCTGCGGGAGTGTGCTCCGCGTACTACGTTTGTACTTAAAAGTTGCGATTTTCCAGCCGGAGCTGCGGGAATGTGCTCCGCGTACTATGTTTGTACTTAAAAGTTGCGATTTTCCAGCCGGAGCTGCGGGAGCACGCTCCGCATACTACGTCTGTACTTAAAAGTTGCGATTTGCCAGCCGGAGCTGCAGGAGCACGCTCCGCGTACTACGTCTGTACTTAAAAGTTGCGATTTGCCAGCCGGAGCTGCAGGAGCACGCTCCGCGTACTACGTTTGCACTTAAAAGCTGCGATTTTCAAGCCGGAGCTGCCGCGGACCAGGGGGCAATCGAACCCGAGACCGCGGGATTGCGAAAGCAGGCGCGCAAACCACGAGACAACTTCCAAAGGCCGTTTCGCGAGCAAGAAAATCGCACGGCGCCACAGCGAGAGCGCTTCGACACGCACGATCTCCGCAGAGGGTTCATCGGGCTCAAGACAGATGCGCACGGCGCCACAGCGAGAGCGATCCGACACGCACGATCCCCGCAGAGGGTTCATCGGGCTCAAGACAAATTCGCACGGCGCCACAGCGAGAGCGCTTCGACACGCAGGATCTCCGCAGAGGGTTCGCCAAGGTCAAGACAAATTCGCACGGCGCCACAGCGAGAGCGCTTCGACACGCAGGATCTCCGCAGAGGGTTCGCCGCGACCAAGACAGATTCGCGCGGCGCCACAGCGAGAGCGCTTCGACACGCACGATCTCCGCAGAGGGTTCGCCGGCTCAAGACAAATTCGCACGGCGCCACAGCGAGAGCGCTTCGACACGCACGATCTCCGCAGAGGGTTCGCCGCGCTCAAGACAAATTCGCACGGCGCCACAGCGAGAGCGCTTCGACACGCACGATCTCCGCAGAGGGTTCGCCGCGCTCAAGACAAATTCGCACGGCGCCACAGCGAGAGCGCTTCGACACGCACGATCTCCGCAGAGGGTTCATCGGGCTCAAGACAAATTCGCACGGCGCCACAGCGAGAGCGCTTCGACACGCACGATCTCCGCAGAGGGGTGCGTTTCGTAAGCTCCCGTCGGGCCATAAAAAGAAGAAGAATTAAGAGTCGAGATGTGAAGGTAGAACAGAAAAGTTAGCTTGTGTTTTTAGGATAGTGAAGTAACACCCGACAAATTAGCTTGTGCTTTTAGTAGAATGAGATAACAGCCGAAAAGTTGACATGAGAAGTAGGCAGGTGAAGTAACTCTCGACAAGTTGGCATGAGAAGTTAGCAGGTGAAGTAACTCTCGACAAGTTGGCATGAGAAGTTGGCAGGTGAAGTAACTCTCGACAAGTTGGCATGAGAAGTTGGCAGGTGAAGTAACTCTCGACAAGTTGGCATGAGAAGTTGGCAGGTGAAGTTGGCAGCCGCTTTTAGAAGAAGAACCCTTCACAATGCTTCCGGGAAAAACCAACTGGGCGGTTTATCCCAGTACAGTATTCATAGGGCTTCATCCATCCCAACCGAGGCAAAGTGGATTATTTTGCTCATCCCACAACCCGGGCACAACTCTAGAACCTTTGACTCATCTGGCCATGTTAGTTCCACCGATTTCTTGGAATTAAGCTTCCCATCCAAGAAAAAGACACAATAAAAAAAGACAAGAAAAAGACCAACGCGGGTATGTGTCAAAATCGGGCGACCATTTGTTCTAAAAACAAATTGTGGATTCCCTTTGGCTTCCCTTCAGACCAACCTGACCATGCTTCCCTCAAGCCGCCTTCCAGCGCCCCGACCTGCGGATCGAAGGGTAGCTGGGAACGCATGGCACGGAAGGTGGGCGTGTCTCAGATGTCCAGTGGCCATGGGAGAAAAAGGGCACGCTCTTTTGGTTGGTTGAGGTTAAAGGAGAACCCTTCCCCGAAAAAAAGGAAAAGAGGGCGCCACTGGGCAACAGAGGCGTGTGTGTGTGTGTGTGTGTGTGGGTGCGTGTGTGTGTGTGTGCGTGTGTGCGTGTGTGCGTGTGTGCGTGTGTGCGCGTGTGCGCGTGTGCGCGTGTGCGCGTGTGCGCGTGTGCGCGTGTGCGCGTGTGCGCGTGTGCGCGGGTGCGCGTGTGCGCGTGTGCGCGTGTGCGCGTGTGCGCGTGTGCGCGTGTGCGCGTGTGCGCGTGTGCGCGTGTGCGCGTGTGCGCGTGTGCGCGTGTGCGCGTGTGCGCGTGCGCGCGTGTGCGCGTGCGCGCGTGTGCGCGTGTGCGCGTGTGCGCGTGTGCGCGTGTGCGCGTGTGCGCGTGTGCGCGTGTGCGCGTGTGCGCGTGTGCGCGTGTGCGCGTGTGCGCGTGTGCGCGTGTGCGCGTGTGCGCGTGTGCGCGTGTGCGCGTGTGCGCGTGTGTGCGCGCGATGCGGCAGCCGCCGCGCGCCGCGTCGCGCGCCGCGCCGCGCGCCGCGCGCGGCGCGCCGCGTGCGGCGGTGGAGGGCGCGCGCGGGGCGCGCGGCGGGAGCGCGCGCGGGGGCGCGCGCGCGTGCGCGTGCGCGTGCGCGCTCGCGGCGCGTGCGCGTTGCGCGTTTGCGCTGTGCGCTGTGCGCGTGCGGCAGTGCGCGTGCGCGGGCGCGTCAGCGCGTGCGCTGTGCGCGTGCGCTGTGCGCTTGCGCGTGCGCGTGCGAGTGCGCAGTGCGCGTGGCCGTGCGCGTGACGCGTGCCGCGTGCGCGTGCGGCAGTGCGTCGTTTTTGGTTGTGCGTGCGCTGTGCGCGTGCGCGTGGCGGCGTTGGTACGCGGTTGCCCGTTGCGCGTTGCGCGTGCAGGTGGCCAGGCGCTGGCGTTTGCGCGTGCATTTGCACGCGTTGCGCGTGTGCGTGTGCGTGTGCGTGTGCGTGTGCGTGTGCGTGTGCGTGTGCGTGTGCGTGTGCGTGTGCGTGTGCGTGTGCGTGTGCGTGTGGTGTGCGTGTGCGTGTGCGTGCGCGTGCGCGTGTGCGTGCGCGTGTGCGTGTGCGTGTGCGTGTGCGTGTGCGTGTGCGTGTGCGTGTGCGTGTGCGTGTGCGTGTGCGTGTGCGTGTGCGTGTGCGTGTGCGTGTGCGTGTGCGTGTGCGTGTGCGTGTGCGTGTGCGTGTGCGTGTGCGTGTGCGTGTGCGTTTGAGTGTGCGTGTGCGTGTGCGTGTGCGTGTGCGTGTGCGTGTGCGTGTGCGTGTGCGTGTGCGTGTGCGTGTGCGTGTGCGTGTGCTTGTGCGTGTGCGTGTGCGTGTGCGTGTGCGTGTGCGTGTGCGTGTGCGTGTGCGTGTGCGTGTGCGTGTGCGTGTGCGTGTGCGTTTGCGTGTGCGTGTGCGTGTGCGTGTGCGTGTGCGTGTGCGTGTGCGTGTGCGTGTGCGTGTGCGTGTGCGTGTGCGTGTGCGTGTGCGTGTGGTGTGTGTGTGTGTGTGTGTGTGTGTGTGTGTGTGTGTGTGTGTGTGTGTGTGTGTGTGTGTGTGTGTGTGTGTGTGTGTGTGTGTGTGTGTGTGTGTGTGTGTGTGTGTGTGTGTGTGTGTGTGTGTGTGTGTGTGTGTGTGTGTGTGTGTGTGTGTGTGTGTGTGTGTGTGGGTGTGTGTGTGTGGTGTGTGTGTGTGTGTGTGTGTGTGTGTGTGTGTGTGTGTGTGTGTGTGTGTGTGTGTGTGTGTGTGTGTGTGTGTGTGTGTGTGTGGGTGTGTGTGGTGTGTGTGGTGTGTGTGGTGTGTGTGGTGTGTGTGGTGTGTGGGTGGGTGTGGGTGGGTGTGGGTGTGGTGTGTGGGTGTGTGGGTGTGTGGGTGTGTGGTGTGTGGGTGTGGGGTGTGTGGGTGTGTGGGTGTGTGGGTGTGTGGGTGTGTGGGTGTGTGGGTGTGTGGGTGTGTGGGTGTGTGGGTGTGTGGGTGTGTGGGTGTGGGGGTGTGGGGGTGTGGGTGTGTGGGGGTGTGGGTGTGTGGGTGTGTGGGTGTGTGGGTGTGTGGGTGTGTGGGTGTGTGGGTGTGTGGGTGTGTGGGTGTGTGTGGGGTGTGTGGGTGTGTGGGTGTGTGGGTGTGTGGGTGTGTGGGTGTGTGGGTGTGTGGGTGTGTGGGTGTGTGGGTGTGTGGGTGTGTGGGTGTGGGGTGTGTGGGTGTGTGGGTGTGTGGGTGTGTGGGTGTGTGGGTGTGTGGGTGTGTGGGTGTGTGGGTGTGTGGGTGTGTGGGTGTGTGGGTGTGTGGGTGTGGGGGTGTGGGGGTGTGGGTGTGGATGTGGGTGTGGGTGTGGGTGTGGGTGCAGGTGTGGGTGTGGGTGCAGGTGTGGGTGTGGGTGTGGGTGTGGGTGTGAGATGTGGGTGTGGGTGTGGGTGTGGGTGTGGGTGTGGGTGTGCGTGTGCGTGTGGGTGTGCGTGTGCGTGTTACCTATTTGGCCCGAGTCGCCTGGATCTGACAAGTGGCTGGAGCCCAACTTGCCATGCTGTTTATTCTGGATGCGTCGATTTGAGGGTACCTGAGTTGCCTGCTCTTGGGCTTGCAAAAAGGGAAACGCAAGGGCAACCGTCCTATGTGCCAGGCTGTTTTGCATACGGATGCAAACCCTTTTGATGCTTGATTCGGGCATATGTTGGCCGACGCAATTTGTTGGGGTGGGTGTCACTTTCACTGGACCCAGGGTTAGCATTGAGAAAAACGGCCAGGATTCAACCCCTCAGAAAAACCGAAGCTCTGCGTCATATGCCTTGCGACTTGGAAAACCCCATGAAGCTTGGAAAACCCCATGAGATGTACTCCCATAGTTTGGAAAACCCCGCTGAACACAGTGATGCTTGAAAGGGCAAACATCGGCCTCAATTGAAGCTCCGAGAAGCTGCGGAGAAAAAAAACAACTACGAGCAGCGCCCAAAGCCGGGCGGTCATGTGTTGGGCTAATCGAACACTATAATACAAGACAAATGACTGGGCTGACTTAGGTCTGACTAACATGCTTTTTGGGGGTCCTCTACAAACTTAGATTACCCTTGCTATAACCAACAGAAAAAGAGGCGGTAGAACCACCTGCAGTGATCATGAAGTGGTCGTACCTGCAGAAGAGAACGCGTTTGTTCCGTGATCATGAAGTAGTCACGAAGACTGGTGTCTGTTCAGCGATCAATGCTATCATTCCTTGCCAAACCCCCCCCCCCCAAAACCCCCCAAAACCCGAAACACTGCGGATTCCGATCTTGGTCCTTAACTGACCATCAAACTAGAGGAAGATACAAGGAGTATGGTTGTATACATTGAGTTGTTTATGATCAAACGTTATTGTTGTGTGACCACCCAAATTTGCAGGGGACAACCTGAACACTTTCGGCAAGCCAGATTTCAGGGTTGGACTCGGCCGACAGCCAACCCGAAGGAATAGAAGCGCTTGGGAAAACAGGAACGCCTGCTTTTTCAGGGGTTCCCTTCTCCCCAAATCAACGCACCGAATCATATTCTCAGAACCTCCAGGGGTCGATGGGTCCATTCCACTTCCGGCACCCCGGAAAACAAACGCCTCCCGCGCCAGGAGGTACAGCCCATGCATGGCTTCGCAAAGGATCTGGTCCGTGTCAAAGCACATGTCAGCCTTAGAGCCGATTCCCCGAAAACCAAAAGCCTGTGTGGTTTCAGGGCCTGAAATCTGACAAACCGGAACGAGTAGACATGGCGAGAACTGTGTATTCTGGAGGCTCCTGTGACCGGTGGCCACAGAAAATGACCAGGTCGAGATGCATGTTCTCGCACAATCCACGAGAAAGCGAGGCATGGCGGTATGTCGCGCATTTTGGACAGCAAAAGGTCAAAAGCAGAAAGTAGAACGGAAAAGGCTGCGTACACTTTTCACGGCCGTGTCTGCCCTTGGCAGTGCTTGGTTGGCCGTGTGGGAAAATATCTGAGGAGCCCGGCTTTGCACGCTGCTGCGCCTGACATCTGGAACCGCAGTGCACGCACAGCCGAAAACTCGACCAACCAACACGAAACTGTTGTAGGCTGCAAAGCGCGTTCCCTGCAAAATTCCACAAAAAAACAGAAAACGGCATCCTTTGTTCTTTTTTGGCGGACTGGTTGAGAACCTCCAAAGTCGTGGGTTTGAGCCCAGCTCCTGAGATCATGCCAAGAAACTGGCCGAGTTCCTCAGAACCCACTCGAAATGTGCGACTGCGAATTTGTTACGAGCTTGGAAAGCAGCCTAAAACCCAACGCGTGTCCCACCCTGCACTCTCTTCAAAGTAGTTCTGGGCATTGCGCCGAGGCCACAACTATCTGTCCGGGGTTCAAAACGTCAGGCGCCTGAAATTTGGGTAGGGCAACGACAACTCATACATCCGACATGAAACAAGGAGTCTCCAAGTAAGGACCCTGCCCAGATAGGTCTCCAAACTCCCTTCCCATGTCTATCACTTCAACGGGGGATTCCCTTGGCCACTCAAGGACAGTGGCAACCTCCATGACCCTGGCCCCCTACCCCCCCCCCCCCGGACCTCTCTTCTTGGCTTTGGCGCATTTCTGCTCCTCGCCCATGCTGCGCTTTGTGTCCGATGGTCAACCAACTGCAGAGCTACGGGGGTTTGTGGCATGTGGCGCAACGAGATGCGAAAGGTGAATTCAAGGCCCTCAAGTCAAGTGCCTGCAACCAACCACTGGATCTTGCCCGCTTGCCAAACATATGGACCGACTTTCGGGAAGAACCCCCCCCCCCGCCGAAATCCCCCATGATTTCCGGGGTCAGAGGGGTGTCCTAAGACAAGCTTGTTTGACATTGGGATAGCTATAGGAAACAGTGGAGGCTATACCTCAGAGGCCTTGGGATGAAACAATTCCATATGAGGCACGGTCAGAATGACTTTGTCCCCATTGCAAAATGTGTGAGGCCTCGGATTGTGGAAAATTTGGTGAGTCCCCCCTTTGAAATGTCTTTTGAACACCATGGAAAAGGACACACCCAAGTGTGCCACGAGGGAGAAAAAGAACTCGTGTGCACCTTCCCCAAGTTGAGGGGTTGTTTGACCATTGTTTTGTCTTAAAATGGATGGAGCCCAAAACGGTGGTTGTTCCTTTCCCCTCTAAAACCATCCTTTAAAACCACCCAAAGGGTAAAAAAAAAAAAAGGTCTTTGACCATTTGCATGATACGCCGAGGCGCCCTCTTCGCCTTGTTCTTGCTCTCGCGCGCTTCCAGCTCATCGATCCACGAGTCGTCGATGGGGGGATCCTCCTTCGTCTCCTGCGCAGGGCCACTGTACTTTTGAAACCGCCCCGGGGGCAAATCATGTGAAACCGTGCTTCCAAAGAAGGGTCCATGAATCGGATTAAAGTCTCATGTTTTCTATTGAGGCCTCAAGCAAGATCCCATGGTGCTCGTCCTTACCGGGCCAAAAAAGGCAAGGCACCGTTGGGGCTCAACCCTCTGTTGAAATCTGGTCCTTTGAAGGCCGCCGTCGAAAGAGACCCGGCCGTGTTTGGGTTTCCCCTCTCAGTTACATAGGCGCTCTCGAAGCTCATGGATCGTGGCTCCTTTGACGGCTGTTGACACTCCCAAACTGCGCATCTTGACCAGTCTTTTGCACCATCTACAAGGCCCTGACGTCATGTTTGGGCCAATGCCCTTACGGGAAAATGTGGTACAGACCCCATGTAGTAGCTGCATATCCCCTTAAACCCTCGGTGTAGTAGTTTGACGTTGCGGAAGAAGGATTCACCAGCGTCACACGGTCCGTTGACCCACATGTTGGGGTATGAAACCAACATGGAGGGAATGCTGTTCTCTCTCACCAACTCTCAAACCCATGCTTTGAGCATCTGGCGCTGGGCCAAATCCTGAACCGAACGAACCCCGCCCTCCACGAGCTGATGCCAACAAACCTGGATGTTGAAAACCCCAAAAAATAGAAAAGAAACAGGCACGCACCCCACACAAACACGCAAACGCGCAAACGCGCAAACACCGAGTCCCGAGTTCCCGACCCCCGCCCCAACCCGGACGTCAGACCGAGCTCCTGCGGCACGGACGCGGCCTCGGCCTTCTCGCGGCGCTGCTGCAGCTTCCGCTGGGCCCGGCTGGGCGCTTTCTCCTGCCGGTCGGCGCTTCCGCGGGCTCGTGTCGCAGGGACCCAAAATCGGCGCTTGGGGCGGGGGTGCCCCCGGCTCTGTTTTTTGACATTCAGTCAGAGCTCCTTCAACTCTGGTGCACAGTTCCGGAAAATGACATGTGGAAAATGTGGAAATTCGGGCTCTAAGCCTGTCCACAACAGGGGGGGGAACCTCCAATATCAGGTCTTGTTGGCTTCAATTTGAAACAACCCCGACCTGAATCAAATACACCTGCATGACATCCTCTTGACCGCAGTAAGTCATGGCTCCTTGATGTGCGTCCTTGCGCTGGTGGTCCCACTCAAAACACTCACTCAAGCAACACTTTGGGATTCCGAATCCAACTGTCCAGTCCACCTGTTGCTCCCTTCTTTCAGCACGCTTTTAGCACTCCAGACTTGCGCCGTCCAGGTTACTGCAGCAAGCTCAGTTGCTCTTGCACCTGGCTGCTGTCTCCGCCTTCTTTTGGATCACCCCAGGTCACAACATTCCCAGATTGAAGAATGGCAGCAAACGCATGCGCAGTTGCTTGGATGTGCTGGACGTTCCTCAGCTGCTCTTGGACCTGGCTGCTGTCTCCGCCCCAGTGTGGATCGCCCCAGGTCACAACAGCCCCAGACTCAAGAATCGCAGCAAACGCACTTCTAGTTGCTTGGATGTGCTGGACGTTCCTCAGCTGCTCTTGCACCTGGCTGCTGTCTCCGCCCCAACGTGGATGACCCCAGGTCACAACATTCCCAGATTGAAGAATGGCAGCAAACGCATACGCAGTTGCTTGGATGTGCTGGACGTTCCGCAGCTGCTCTTGCACCTGGTTGCTGTCCCAACCCCAGCCTGGATTACCCCAGGTCACAACAGCCCCAGACAAGAATCGCAGCAAAAGCACTTCTAGTTGCTTGGATGTGCTGGACGTTCCTCAGCTGCTCTTGCACCTGGCTGCTGTCTCCGCCCCAACGTGGATGACCCCAGGTCACAACATTCCCAGATTGAAGAATGGCAGCAAACGCATACGCAGTTGCTTGGATGTGCTGGACGTTCCGCAGCTGCTCTTGCACCTGGTTGCTGTCCCAACCCCAGCCTGGATTACCCCAGGTCACAACAGCCCCAGACAAGAATCGCAGCAAATGCATACGTAGTTGCTTGGATGTGCTGGACGTTCCTCAGCTGCTCTTGCACCTGGCTGCTGTCTCCGCCCCAACGTGGAAGACCCCAGGTCACAACAGCCCCAGATTCAAGAATCGCAGCAAAAGCACTTCTAGTTGCTTGGATGTGCTGGACGTTCCTCAGCTGCTCTTGCTCCTGGCTGCTGTCTCCGCCCCAACGTGGATGACCCCAGGTCACAACATTCCCAGATTGAAGAATGGCAGCAATGCTTGGATGTTCTGGACGTTCCTCAGCTGCTCTTGCACCTGGTTGCTGTCCCCACCCCAGCCTGGAACACCCCAGGTCACAACAGCCCCAGATTCAAGAAGGGCAGCAAAAGCACTCCCAGTTGCTTGGATGTGCTGGACGTTCCTCAGCTGCTCTTGCACCTGGTTGCTGTCCCCACCCCAGCCTGGAACACCCCAGGTCACAACAGCCCCAGACTCAAGAATCGCAGCAAAAAATCTAGTTGCTTGGATGTGCTGGACGTTCCTCAGCTGCTCTTTCTCCTGGCTGCTGTCTCCGCCGGCGTCTGGATCACGCCACGTCACAACCTCGCCCTCGAGGCCATGCCAAGCAAATGCCGTTCGTGCGGCAGCCAGTTGGCCAAGCTGCACAACCGCAACAACCACGTCCCCATCTTGCAACCCAGCCTCATTCAGTGTGGCCGTCAAATCAAGCTGCCGGCCTTTAGCAGTGAGCTTCAAGCGGCGCTGGAAATGCTGCTGCGCTGTAGCTTTCAGCTCGCTGATTGGCCTTTTCCCTAAGAGTGAGATGGAGCAACTATCTCCGCTGGGCAAGTGAACATCCACCTTCATGGCACAGGATGATTCTTCCAGGCGTGTTCACACACATTCCTCAGACACTTCTTCAAGAGGTAGCCACTCCGTGCTCTGGGAGAATGCCTTTGTGCGTTTGTTTTACGTTTGTTGATTGTATAGAGGTTTTGCTGGTTTGTGGCTTTGGGCAGGGCTGATCCAGTGGATGTGTGCTTATTGAAAGGTTCCAGAACTCGTGTTTGAATATTAATTGATGTGCAACGAAAACTATCTTGGACAGCAAATCCTGTGTAAAGTCTAACTTGAAATGGAAAAATTCGTATTCGAACGCTAGCGCAGAATGGAAACGAGTATGTCCATGTAAAACTCTAGAAACTCTACATGTACAAGCCTCTATGTGGCAAGGATGTCCATCTGAATTCCAAATTTAAGATTGGATGGCCAGTACAAATGCAGAGTAAGAACTTCTTTATTGAGTCCTATGTCATGTCCATTCAAATTCTACTTGACTTTTAGAGAGCGGATGTTGGTGAAGATGTGAATTTAGTCGAAAAGCACGACACACTGTGAGTTGCTGTGTTCTCAGACGATTGTAGTGCTGGCTGCTACATGACTTTTGAACCTCTGCATGATTTCCTTATGAAATCATACTTCATATGATGATTATAAACTTCTACTCAAAGCAATTTAACAAGGAAATAGTTCCATCATAAGTTCTATTTTAAGATAGAATATGTCTAAAACAAAACAATTTAAATTAAATTCTACACTAGTGTACTACACAAGAGCGCCTTTCCAATACAAGTGTTGCTATACAAATCAGCTAACATTTCAACACAGTTTATACAAAAAGAGTTCAACAGCAAGCAAGTGAAGATCAAAATATAGCAAAGAGTGCGCTCCCAAAGTCCCCGGCCCTCAAAAAACTAAGCAATTGTAACAGAACCAACACGCTAGCATTACCAGCCAGAATATCTGGCATCGCCAGCCAGCATATCTGGCATCGCCAGCCAGCATATCTGGCATCGCCAGCATCTCCAGCAATACCAGAATCGTCCAGAAAATGCAGGGGAGCAGGGTGCCTCTCCGGTGCATCTGCATCATCTGCAACAGGCGGGTGCAGGAGTTCAGCCTTCAACAACCAAAAGCGGCTTTCCAAGTCCCATTTCGAGAAACACTCACTTCAGGACACTGAAACCCCAACAATTCAACCTTTCATCAAAAATGGCAAGGACCCAACTTGATGACACCTTATTTGGTAAACAATGGTGCTTATGTTAACCCCCATTGGTTGAATGGTGGTTTGAGTTCTAAGGGGAAACCCGTCTCCTGCGCCTTCTCTACCTTCTCTGGGAGGTTGACCTCGCGGTGTGCCGGCTGATTGCCGGGCGCCTGGCGCAGAAATGTTGTAGGAGCTTCCAATCTTTGGAGAACCCAACATGGCCCACGTGGAATCCCACATGGCTGCGGGTCAAAAATCGGGTAACCCCAAAATGGTTTGCCCTGGTAAATGGAAACATGGACTAAAACCTGCGGTCCCCTGGTTGCTTAATTTTGACCCCTACCCACATGCGTGTATGCGTGTATGCGTGTATGCGTGTATGTTTGTGTGTGTGTGTTTGTTTTACGAGACCCCCGAAATGGTGGGTGTTCCTTTTGGTTCCAGGTAAAGCCGCCCAAAAATGGTGGTCTCTAAAAAAGGACACAGCCATACGGTCTTGTTTCCTAGGGGAGTCAGAGGGAAACCAAGCGGTAAAAAGGCAAGCAACCGTCACACTAATCCCTACCAAGCACAAGTAAAAGTGTGCTTTCCATTGGACACCAGTTTTAAAGGAAAACCAAAGGGAAACCAGAGCGAAACCGCAATTGTCCAAAGAAGCCAAGGAAGCCAACTGCTCGCAGGGAAGCCTCAGGGAAACCGGGCCCCCGTTTTGGGGGAAAACATGTTTGGGGAAAAAAAGGTTGCGTCAAATATGAAACCCACACCCAAGTCCAAACCAAACAAGAACGAATATATATATATATATATACTAAATCACTGGTTGACGTTGAGCCTTCAACTTCTCAATCTGGCGGGCCCCCGATTCCTGCCTGCACGGATTCACCCTCGATATCACAACGGGTACGATTCAGGGGTCAACAGTACAACTGTTTTATGTAGAGTGACTACAACGAGCTTGAACGTACTTACCAATTGGGTGTGATTGATGTGGATGTTATTGAGGACCCTTGTTGGGGTGGCTCTAAAGGAAAACCTAAAGGAACACCGCCTCTATTATGAGCGGCCTGGTTTAACACACACCCGTTTAGCATCTGGAAATATGTGGAGTGCAGAATCCCTTCAGTGGTTTCCGGTGAGAAAATTCACCACCACTTCGCAGGGTTCCCCCCCCCCCTCCCAGGCATCCAGCAAGGCCAGATCTTGTTGCGTTTGGGATATGCCATTTTCCCCCCATCAACACGCTTGTGGGTGCAAGCATCCAGGCATCTTCCCCAAGTGACCCAACCCTTCTTTATTGCTTCACTTCCGGCTTCCATTTACCCATCCGAACTGGCGAAGGGGGGAGGGGCTTCGGGCTTTGGGTGGCTACAAACAAACTCTGGCGTCCACACTCCCCTTGCATCCATTTTGCCTGGCCACCTTCCTTACTGTTTTTGTTCAGTCCTCACATACAACAAAGTAGATACGCGAATAGTTGGATTAGATAGATACATGGATTGGCTTATGTACCTGTATACAAATGTCTATACATAACTATACATACTTATATTATATTTTTCTCTGCTCACGCGCCCCCCCCCCAGGAACTATATTTGAAGCACTCGTGTCTGATTCAACCAGCTCTGAAGGATACTCTGCAGATTTGCTCATCTGCATTTGCTCATTTGTGTCTGCACCCACCAAGTACCAACATGTCAAAAACAAGTTTTAGACATGTGCATCTGTGATTAAAGTCCTGTTTGGAAAGGAGTTCCGGCATAGACATTCAAAAATTTAGGTTAACGTCTTAATTTCAAAGTAATTTCTTCTTTTCTTCTCATTGAAATACACATTCAACTGCAATTATGCCCTTCTCTGTCAAAGTTTGTTTATAAAGCTCCCTTCAAAGCCTCCTAAAAGGCTCAGTATACCAAATTTGATTCCAATTGAAGTTTATGAAAACATAGTTCTGTTACAATTTTAAATATTGGATTGGAATTTAGAGGTGGGTGTCTTTCCACATGGTGTGAATAGTAAAAGGTGCATAGAGCTTAATAGGGAAGGAATTCAACTAGACTCCTATCTTCAGAACTGATTTCAGCTCTCTTTTCAGTTCCTGGCTTCACTACTCAGAACTGCAAGGTGGATTTCCTTCACTGCTGCGACTTGGGGGCGACGGCTGACTGTTTTTACATTCAGCAGCAGAGCGTCAGATGCGCCAGGCTGTGTCAAGATATTCAGCAATTCTACAAAGACAACAAGGTTCAAGACAGGTTGCCAAAGCTTCTCCCCACCATGTTGAGACGCGAAGCCAAGGAAAAGAAGAAAGTTCCAAAGCTTCAAGTCAAAGCAGGAGAGAGCAGAGCTTTGGTGCCATGCTGTTTGCAGGCCACTCAATACATGGACAGAGGCGTACCTCATCAGCCAGCTATGCTGTAGATGTACGCTTGCTTGAGTTCGGCGAACTGGGATGAATAGGACGTAGGAGCTTAAGCCTTCAAAGGCTTTACAAGGGAAGCCCTACAAGAGCCTTACAAAGGGGTCTGAGAAAGAGATCTGAAGAGAGTTGTGTAAGGAGCTTGCCACGAAGCTTTTTGAGAGCTTTATGAGGAGGTTCATCAGAAGCTCTAATAGGAATTATATGGAGCCTTAAAAAGAGCCGTAGGAGCTTCAAAAGGAGTCTCGCAAGCAGCTTTACAAGGAGTTTCAGAAGGAGCCTTATGAGGACTTGCCCTATTGACCTGAACCAGTGAGCGGCCCTGGCCCTGAGCACGCTGCTGTGCTCAGTCAGCACATCGCTGGAGTCTACAAAGGCCTTTCCTCTTGAAACTAGCTGCCCAATACCCTAAAAAGCAGAAAAAACGGGCAAAAACAGAGCAAGGAAAACCAAAAAAACAAACAAACCAAAAAAGCTCGAGAAAACCCAAAAAAGAAACAAACAAAAAATGGTTGGTCTGGCCTCAGATTTTAGGTTTCTTGTTTTCTCGAGGTTTCTTTGGTTTTGTTCGGGTTTCCTCGCGTTGTTTTGTTTTCTTGAGCTATTGGGGGCAAAAACCAAAAAACAGTGCTTTTGTTGAGTGAGGGGCATGAGAAAACCAAAAATGCCCTCTAATTGTTTGGTTGTTTGACTCCAAAGCTCAAACAAACAAAAAACTCGAGGACAACCAAACAAAACCAAAAATCAACTCAAGGGAATCAAACTGAAACTCTGAGCCAGGCCAGCCATTCTCTTGTGTTTTTGTTCTTTGGTGTAAGGGGCAACAAAACAATCCAGCAAGAGATGTGGCATCCTCGCCTTCGGTATCTTGTTCAAGAGTAAAAAGAGAGATTTAGCAGAACAAATTCAGCAATAAACATTGCATCTTGAATACAGAATGTCCTGTTCATGTTGTGATGTGCTTTGGCTTGAGGAATTTGGTGGCTATGTGTAGTCAAAAAGGATGTTTTTTACATTTCGCAATTAAAAACAAAAAACACAGCGTACCCCTCCCCAGCGGTTTCAGACTATTGGACGGGACACAGTTGAATAAAAACGTTGGGGTGTTCGATTCCCCCCGGGTGCGCTTTTGCATCCTGGACAACATCGCCAGCATCACCTGCATCATCCGCATCAGAGAGTGCGGGGGTGGGGGGGGTGTACAATGGGGGGAAAGGGGAAAAGGTGGGGAGAGGGGGAAAGGGCGGAAGAGATCCCAGGAGGACAAAGCAGGCAAAAGATCTAAAGATCTTTAAGGGGGAGGTGGGGGGGGAAGATCTTACGAGGCGGGAAAGGGGAGGATCTTAAAACGATCTTAGCGAGGGAAGGGGGGCAGAAGATCTTAAGGGGGAAAAGATCTAAGGGGGGGAAAGTGGGGAGCGGATCTTTTGGGGGGGGGGGGGGCAAAAGGGTAAAACGATCAGGGGGGGAGGGAAGGAAAGAAAGATCTTACGGGGGAAAAGGGAGATCTCAGGAGGGCAAAGGGGGAAAAAGATCTTATAAGGGAGTTGGGGAGAAAGAGGGAAAGATATGTTCGGAGAAGAAGGGGGGGGCGGAAAAGATCTTGGCGTGGGGAAAAGATGTTATAAGCGGCGGGGGGGGGGGGGAAGATCTTAGGGCGGGGAAAAGGGGATCGATCTTAGGGGGTGAAAGCGGAGATCTTTTGGGGGGGCTTTGAGGGGAAGGGGGAAAAGGGGGCAAAGATCTTGGGCGGAGGGGGGGGGGGGGACCAAAGATCTTGGGGGGAAAAGGGGGAAAAGATCTTAGGTGGGAGAGGGGTAAAGGGGGAAAGAGATTTTAGGAGGACGAAGCAGGGAAAAGATCTTGGGGGGGGGGGGGGATGAGGAGAAGATGTTCGGAGATTTCAGGGGGAAAAGATCTTGGTGGAAAACGATCCTAGGAGGGGAAAGGTTGGAAAAGATCTTAGGGGGAAAGGGGGGGGGTGGGGAGAGGGGGAGAGGATCTTGGGAGGGGAAAGAGTGGAACAAATGCTGGGAGGGCTAGGGGGGGAAAGGGTAAGGGGGAAGGCGGGAAAAGATGTTTTAAGAAGGGAAAGGGGGAAAAGGATCTCAACAGGGAAAGGGGGGAAACGATCTTAGGGAGGAAAAGAAGCTCTCGGGGGGGGGGGGGGGAAGGCTTAGGGGGGAAACGGATCTCAAAAGGCAAAGGGGGGAAAAGATCTTAGGGAGGAAAAGGGAGAAGAATTCAGGGAAGGAAAAGGCCTTAGGGGGGCAAGGGAGGAAAGGATCTCAACAGGGAAATGGGGAAAAAGATCTAGGGAGGAAGAGAGCGGACAAGATCTTACAGGGGGAAAGGTCGGAAAAGATCTTTGGCAAGGGGGGGAGAAGATCTTAGAGGGGGCAAGGTGGGAAAAGATCTTTGGGGGGAAAAGGGAGAAAATTTCAGGGGGGGAAATGCCTTAGGGGGGAAAGGGGGGAAAGGATCTCAACAAAAAAAGGGGGAAGAGATCTTAGGGAGGAAAAGGGAGAAGCTCCCACGGGTAAAAAAGGCCTTAGGGGGCAAACGGGTCTCAACAGGGAAAGGGTGGAAAAGATCTTAGGGAGGAAAAGGGAGAAGATCTCAGGGGCGGAAAAGGCTTAGAAGGAAAGGGGGGAATGGATCTCAACAGGGAAAGGGGGGAAAAGATCTTAGGGAGGAAAAGGGAGAAGATCTCAGGGAAGGAAAAGGCCTTGGGGGGGCAAGGGAGGAAAGGATCTCAACAGGGAAAGGGGGGAAAAGATCTTAGGGAGGAAAAAGGAGAAGATCTCAGGGAAGGGGGAGCAAGGGAGGAAAGGATCTTAACAGGGAAAGGGAGGAAAAGATCTTAGGGAGGAAAGGGAGAAGATCTCAGGGAAGGAAAAGGCCTTAGGGGGGCAAGGGAGGAAAGGATCTCACAGGGAAAGGGCGAAAAAGATCTTAGGGAGGAAGAGGGGGAGAAGATCTCAGGAGGGGACGGGGGGGAAGATCTTAGAGGGGAAGGGGGGCAAGGGGACAATTGCAAAGGGACGCAAATAAGAAAGCAGGCCTGTATTGTCGGCGGCCTGAGCCGGAGGCGTTAAAATATATGGTGGTCACACACACACACACACACACCCCATGAACTACATTTGAAGAATGCGTACCTGCATTCAATTGTCTATGCATAGCCATACTTGCTTCTGCCTATTTTACAGCGAGCTCACCAGGGGGGGGGGGGAGCTCACCATACCATGAAGGTCCTTTGCTTGGGGATCCAATTCTTAATTCAGGTTTTGGAATGTTGTTCAGAAACCCTGGAATGGTGATTCTCCTGTAAATACCAACAAACAAGGGTTTCAACCATGGTCTGCATGGATTTCGTCCGTTCCCCTCCCCTCCTCCCACCACACCCACCACACCCACCACCCCCGGCCCCCGGCCCCCTCCCCTCCCCGCGGTGCCTCCTCCTTCTCCGGGCTCGCGCCGCGGCGCTTCTCCGGCTTCGCCTTCCGCGCCTTGCGGCCCTTCGAAGCCCCCGCCTCCTCGAAGCGGAGAGCCGAGTGGGCCATGGATGCAGTTGATAACGTTTATGAATAAATATATAACAGGCCACGGTATATATGTAACATGTATGTATAAATATATATAGCATGAATAGATGTTCGATATATATATATATATACAACATACGTAAAGGCCCGTAAAGGCTCTGGAATATGCATGCATATATAACACTAATAGATATTCCGGAATCTATATGTATATACATAGCATGGAATTATATGTGTTGTTTTTCCAAGGCAACAAGAGCTGTCAATATTCGAAGTTGTCCCTGAACGACATTGGATGAGGAGAAGCCCACCCAATTTCCGAGTGGTAGGTTGGTGGGTGCGCCCCATGTTATCCCCCTACTACAGCATGCAGAACAAACATACGAGAATGATAAGATTCTAATTGACAGTTAAACAAGAAACGCAGAGGGATATGTGCTTTTGTTTCAAAGGGTGTGAACTCCTAGTTTCATAGCTCGTCAAACATGCGCTATGTCTTAACAATGAAAGGCCAGCCACACGCGGCCAAAACGTCGAACCCATGTTGCACTTCAGCGCTGTCCTTGCACCAAGCCCTGTTTTGGCGGACACGCTTGAAACTGCCGAAATAGGCTCCGATCCGCCAAATCAAGAGGCCCTTCCAAATGATGCAATCACGACACTTGAGACCGCTGGGTACTAAGGGGTAAGGCAACCCCCAAAACATGTGGGGTTCATTTGGTTCCCTTTAAGCCGCAAAAAGGGTAGCCTCGAAAAAGACATTTGTGAGGACCGCCCCCGCCAACCCACACTATCATGTGGGAATGTGCTCCAAAATCGCTGTTTGGCTTCATGTTGAAGCCTTTTTGAAACGGGTGTGTGGGTTTTCTGGCTGGTTGTTACCCCCCCCGCCGCCCCATTCCAGGGCTACCCAAATGACTGCCAAACAGGAGTCCAACAAGCCCGTGTGATGCAGATCCGAAGCGCACGGTTAGAATCTTCCCCGAGGCAAAGACTCCGCCGGTCTGCGCGGACTCAAACCGAACGCGGACAGAGGTTCTTGCATTATCCACCTCAACATTACCCCCCAAAACCATTCCCTTTGGGTCTGCTGGAAAACGTCATTGTTCAATGGCTGCTTCGTTCGGTTTGCCATCACTGATTGAGAAAGACTATGGTCTGTGGCTCAGCTGATTTTTTGTGGGGCGAGGGATCGTTTGAACCTGGGAATGGAACTCACCGAACTGTCCAGAAGTGCCCAAATGTGAAAAGGATAATTGATGGAGCAGCTGAGACGGATGCAGGGCTGAGCATGTGTGTGTGTGTGTATATATATATATGGTCGCCTCCCCCCCCAAGGTCCACCCCCAGCTTTGGACACAGCTAAGACACTGCCAAAACACTGTAATTTACAGTGTGTTGAGCAGTGTTCAACTGTTTGAAGCAGATGAAAAGCAAAACGGATTTCGTTTGGATTTGACATTGCTTTTGGCAGATGGGTTGATCCTGGACAAGATGTGATGCTGGCAGATGTTTTGGTTTGAGTAGGCATTTTCATATAGTGTTTGCAGCAATTTTGAGCCCGAAGAAGGATAGGCAAGCAGAAGTTTGCAGATGATTTGTGATTGAAGTGTGTTGAACATGTTAAAAAACCTCCTTTTTATTGCATTTTTTTCAGTTTGGAAAGGTCATGGTGCTCAAAGTGCTGTACTGTCCTTTTGTTTGTGTTTCCAAAGAAAAAATAGGGACAGTACAGCAGTTTGGAGATAGGGGTGCTCAAAGTGCTGTACTGTCCCTATTTTGTGTGTGTCCAAATCAAAAAAAATAGGGACAGTACAGTGCTGTACTGTCCCTATTGTTTGTGTTTCCAAATCAGAAAATAGGGACAGCTGTACAGTCCCTAAAAAACCAAAACAAAACAGAGTCGTGCGTGGCTAAGAGCCTGAGACCTCCAAATAATTGTTTTCTAGGTTTTTTAAGGGACAATACAGCACTTTTGGCTCTTCAAAGCAAAAATAGGGACAGTACGGCACTTTTGAGGTCAGGGTGCTCCAAAGTGATGTACTGTCCCTTTTTTTTGTGTCCAAAGCAAAAAAAATAGGTCCAGTACAACACTTTTGAGGTCAGGGTGTTCCAAAGTGTTGTACTGTCCCTATTTTTCGTGTTTCCAAAGGAAACAATAGGGACAGTACAGCACTTTGGAGGTCAGCGTGCTCCAAAGTGCTGTACTGCCCCTAAAAAACATAAATTAAAAAAAAAAAAAAAAAAAAAAAAAAAAAAAAAAAAAAAAAAAAAAAAAAAAAAAAAAAAAAAAAAAAAAAAAAAAAAAAAAAAAGCATTTGTAGGTCTCAGGCTCTTTGCCGTGCAACGTGTAAGGACAATTCTATTGGAAAATGAATTCCCGTGTAACATTTACGTTGAACTAGATTAATCATAATTTAAAGCATTTTTTTAACATATACAATTTGATTGGAGTCTTTCCTTAATAATTTCTAGTTAATTTCAGTCAGACATTGAGTAGAATTTGGTAAAGATATTAAGTAGATTTCAGAAGGAGAGAATTCAGAGGTCAGAAATTGTGTTTTGTGTGTGTGTGTACTAGCCCCAGAACTACCATGGTCAGAAAACACCGTAAAACACAGTGTTGTGTAGCGTTTTTCGTACTCAATTCACATCTCCACCAACGGCCACTCTCCAAAATCAAGTTTGAATTTGAATAGGATTTCAATAGGACTCAATAAGAAAATGCTTGATCAGAATCCTACTGGAAGCTACACCTTACATTTAGAATTTAGATGAAAATCCTTGCCCAATAGAACATTACAATTTTAAATTAGAGGTTAACCATAATTTGATAAGGAATGAATCCAATCACAACTTCTGTTTCATAATAGAATTTGAATTAGAATAATTCTAGTTTAATTGATAGTTTACACGGTATGTTCTTTCCAATCAACTGTCTTTACAACTCAGCTTTCTTAAACACACCTTATGCAAACATAGTTCAACTCGAGTTTCCACTCAAAAAGTGAAAAATGCGCACGCTCAAAGCGTCCTGCTCTCAAAAGGAATTATGTGTATGTATATATATATACATATATATTCACACCCAAAGAGGACTTTGGACACCAAAATACACTCAACACAACCCAAAGGTGGATCTTGGGGGGGGGGGGGGGTGAGCATATATATATATATATATATATCGATATATTTATACGTATTATCAGAAAGGGCTGTCAGACGCCTTGTACATCCCGGTTAGGTAGATGATCCCCAAAGGCTTGCTGGGTACCCCTTTCGCCAGAAGCGTTATATGGTTGCGTCGTCTTTGAGGGTACCTTTTTGTTGGGAGTTCAAAGGGAAACTAGCCATTTTAGGGTTCCCTCAGTTTGAGACGCACCCATATCATTCGCCAAAAGGTTCAGTCACTCTCTCTCCTCCTCCAGTTCCTCGAGGGACGCATTTGTCCCGACGCGCTTGGCAGAGAGCCAGCCAACCAGGAAGACCAAGCGTTCGTGCTGCACCACCACCCAGTCCCAAATGACCTGCCCGAGTCGAGGAAAATGTCTTCCTTCGGGAACCGGAGTAAACCCTTTCAAACCCCTTGAACAAACTCCATGGTCAACATATCCTCAACCAAAAGCCGCTTCACGTCCCTTTTAAAATGCCCGCAAGCCCCCCCGGTGGCTGGAACAAAACATCACAACCCCTCACCCCCACTCGCGCCGGAGCATCCGCACCCACCCAATCCACACGGGCACACACACAGACTGAAAACACGAACGGAGAATTGACACACCCTAATCATGCTTGGACCCTCCGTTGGAGCGGTCTGGATCTCCATTAAAAGGGATTGGAGGCCACAAAGGCTCCTTTTGAGGTACCAAGATTCTTGACACAAGCCAACCCCCTCCGATCCCCTCAGAAGGCCGCTTGTTCCCAGAGCTGCCTCCATGACGGAGTCCCAAAAGCAATAGAAGGGCTCCAGCGCCATATCCACCTCATCCAAAGCCTGGCGTTTCGGAACTTAATCGGGAAGTCGCAGGCTGGTGTTTCGGGGCCGTGGGGCCGCTGGGTTCGAAGTGGTTGACATGCCTTGCTTGTCACAGATACAACATACCTTCGCTCCAAATACCTTCGGAAGTTGAGATCTGGAAAAGAAACTCCACGTTAGACCCCCGTAGAACCCAGTCCCCTCTTGGGTTCGATCGCCAACTGTGGGGTCAATTGTGGGGGTCAATCGCCAACACCAACCCTAACCAACCTCGCACCATGTCGAAAGTCCAACCCAACACCCGCTCCACACACGCCTCAAAACCGGCCTAAGCAACCTCAAACCTCCTATTTCCTTGCCGCGGGTGGAACCGCCACGTGGCTTGCGCCGTCTCCAGGCACCCGGCACCGCCCGGCGCCTTGCCCAGGCACCTCCCGGCGCGGCGCAGGAAGGGCCGCAGCAGGCGGCCCACTAGCAGCAGCTTCTCCAAGAAGCCCTCGAAAGGGCCACCAGCAGCCCAGCCCACAACAACTTCACAGTCAAACAACAGCTCAGTCCAACAAACAGCCGGCCCAACAGCCCAACAGCCCCAGCAAAAGCAACAGCCCAACAGGCCCACCAACCCAAGAACCCATCGAAACAGCTGGATGTTTGTCATCTTCGAAACCGTGGCGTCTAACCACCCCCAGTGGACTTGTGGATCTTCAGTGTGAGACTTCGGTAGTTGAGTTCTCCGAAAGGTGGACTTGGTTGTTCTTTTCAGGGTGAGACTTCCTTATCATAATTCTCAGAAAGAAACGGTTCAGAAATCCTGGGTTTGTAAATCCTGGGTTCCCCTAAAGCGGCCTGGTGGTTTGGGCAATAGGGAGGATCGACCTTCCCATTAAGCAAAAAACGTCGGTTTCCTTCGGGGCCTCTTTGAACCAAACCTTAAAAGGCACAGCCACGAACCGAAATGCAGATTAGTTGTCCAAAGCTACCGTTGTGTGTGTGGGTGTGCCCCTGCCCATCCACCTGCTTGTTGACCTACTGGTCTGTCTGTCTGTCTGTCCATCTGCCTACCTATTCATGTACATCTTTTATCTATCCATCCATCTTTCTGTCCATGTACCTATCTATCTACCTACCAACCTGTACTTTTATATTTCTATATATATATATATATTTATGTATATATATATATATTTGATGCAATCCCCCCTCCAAAGCCCAGGTTTTGAACCTGGACAATTGCCAAAATCACTGGAAACATGCTACATTTGAGAATCGTTTGCATTTTCGCATCTGCGAAACGCGTATTATTCAAGTTCAAGCAGTAAATGTTGGCAAGTTCAATTAGTTACTCAAACAAACAGTCAGCAAGTCAGCTAATTAGTCAGTTAAATAGTTGTAATGAATTAGCTCTAAAGCCAGTTAGCTAGTTAATTTGTTAATCAGTTAGTTATCTATTTAGCTGCCTAGTTAGTTAGATAATACTGAAGGTATTTCCCTAATATTCGGGCCATACTAGGGGAATACTAGGGCAATACTAGGTAGGATAATACGTGGGAATACTGAAGGAATACTAGGGGAAAACTCTCAAGCTCAATCTGTCTGGCTTCTCTCAGGCTTCCTGACTAGGGCAATACTGGGGCACTACTAGGGAAGTACTGCAAGAATTCTAGGAGAATATTGAGAGAATACTAGGGGTATACCAAGAGAATACTTAAGAAATACCAGGGCAATACTAAAGGTATTCCCCTAGTAATTCCATCCCTTTACTAGGTATGCCAAGAGACTAGGAATTAACTGAATACTAGGGCAATAATAGGGGAATACTAGGGCAAGCATAGGGCAACACTAAGCAAATACTCAGAGAATACTAGGGCAATATTAAAGGTGAAGACTAGAAAATACTAGGGGAGTAATAAAGGTGAATGCTGGAAAAAAACTGGAAAATTGAAAAACTGGAAAAACTGGAAAAACTGAAAAACTGAAAAACTGAAAAATGAAAAAAAACTGGAAAAACCTGAAAAAACCAAGGATTTGGGGGGACATGCCAGGGGGGCCCCCATGTCCCCTGAATCCTTGGTTTTTCAGTTGTTTTCAGGTTTTGTGTTTTTTGCAGTTTTTGCAGTTGTTGTCCAGTTTATTCAGTGTGTTTTTTCAGTTTCCAGAGCGATTGTTCAGACAATACGAGGGGAATAACAAAGGAGAAAATACGCTCAGGTGATATCCCCAACAGCATGCGGTGCTCCTTTTCGTGCTCGCACCCCGCAGCCCTCGCAGAACCTCGCGGAACCCTCGTGGAACCCTGGTGGAACCCTAGTGGAACCTTACCTCAGGGCCGCCCCGGACCACCCCGGAGCCTATCTGGGCTGAGACCCCAAAGCTTTCAGCTGTTGGGGAAAAAAAAGGATTCAGGGGGACGTGGGTGGGGGGCCCCATTTCCTCCTGAATCCATGGGTTTTTCAGTGTTTTCAGCTGTTCTTTCACTGTTTTCAGTTTTTTCAGTTTCCAACGTGCTTCCTTGAAGAGATGCCCTTACGCAATCATAGTGCAGCATTGGCTGCCAAATGAGAGGCTTTTGACAGAAGCAGACAGTGGGCCTGAAAAGTGTGTGTGTTCTGGCAGATGCAAGTTTTGGTGACAAAGCACTGTAAATACCTGTGTTTTGTTCGTTCAAAACCTGGTTTGTTTGCTTTTTTGGGGGGCAGAGGGTACCATATATATATATATATATTTCTATATATGACTCTTTCTGACAACTCTTTCTGGGATTCTTAATTAAAATGTATATGGATTTATGCAAACATGAACTAACATGTACAGTAAATGCTTCGGCGCAAGGACATGACGTACTGTTATTTTTGATTTTGATGTCAGTTGCAAGTAGGAATGAGGTCCTTTCCCCCAAGTTGATGATTTGCTGAAATGTCCTGCCAAACAAAAATAGAAAAAACCAAATAATAGAGCTGCTACAGGCACGTTGAAAATGCCAAAGCATACTTGGAGCTGTTTAAATAGGATCTCCTATTCAACGTTGAGATTAACTTCTGCTTGGTTGGAATTTGTATGGAGTTGCAGTCAGTCTGGCCAAACACCTCAATTCTAGCCCAAAATCTGAGTATTTCACGGGGGGAAGCATATATATATATATATATATATGTGCGATCTATCTATCTATCTAACCTGAATTAATCTAATGTCTGTCGTTCTAGTTAATCTAATCTAATCTCATCTAAGCTAATCTAATCTGCACGATCCATCTCTGAATGTTATCTCGATCTATGTATTCATTTATTTATCTATCTGCCTGCCTGTCTGTCTATCTATCTATCTATCTATCTATCCATCTATCTATCTATCTATCTATCTATCTATCTATCTATCTATCTATCTATCTATCAATATCACTGCTGTCTCTATCTCTCTATCCCTGTACCTGTCTATCCATCTATCGATTGATCTGTCTATCTACCTACATCTCTTTCTTTCAAACTATCTCTTGCTTCTACAATCTACCAATCTCATCGAACAATATCATCTATACTATCTCTCTGTCTCTCTCTCTCTCTCTCATCTCTCGGTCTCGTCCATCTATATCTCTACTCTAACCAAATCTCATCTAGTCTAATCGAATCCACCTATCCATCTTTCTGCCTAATCAAATCCAGTGCAATCCAATCCAGTCTAATCTAACCTATCTATCAATTCTTCTATCTCATCTAACCTACTCTTTCCCTCCAACTATTCATCGAATCCAATCTGCCTATCTAATCTAATCTTATCTTCCCTTAGCTTATCCGCTGTCTTGTCTAATCTAGTCCATATCTGTATATATATATATATGTATCTCTCATCTACTCTTCTATCAACCTACCTGCCTACCTGTCTATCTATCTCTGGTTTTCTATCTGTCGATCTATCTATCCTTTTGTCTATTTAGCTAACTCTATCTAACTATCTGTCTATCTACAGATCGACCAATCTATCTGTCTGACGTTCTATCTTTCTTTCTTTCTATCTAATCTAGCCTATATATATATATATGTCTGTGTATGTCCATCTGGCTTCCTTTCTTTCTGTCATCTATCTAGCTCTCGCTCTAGCTATCTATCTACCTACCTACCTACCTGCCTACCTACCTACCTACCTATCTATCTATCTTCTATCCCTCTCTCTCTCTCGCGCTCTCTCTCTCTCTGTCTACATCTATCTATCCGTCTGCCTATCTATCTGTCCGTCTATCTAACTTTCCTGCGAGTTGTCGACTGTCATGAAGTTTAACTGCCAGACTGCCCGCGCGTGGCGCAAACATGCCCATGTTTCCGACAGAACGCCAGCATCACACAAAAAGGCTCACGATTCCGTGAGAAAGCACACCGCGGACTGCACACAAATAGGACAAAAATGTAAGCTGGTGGTTGTTTGCAAGCTTGAGCTTCAAGAGTGTGTGGCTGTAGTGGCGAGAGAGGTCCAGTGAAAACCTTGCTCACAAGGCACGAAAAAACCCTACACCTGGGAGCTTCAAAGCCCGTGCGGTTTCAGGACACTGCAAAAATCACAGTTTCGCTGTGGCGAAATGCACACGAACTCCTTTCTGATAGGATCGTCGTGGTCTGCACACTCCAATCCTCAGCGAAACTGCGCTTTTGAAGTTTGGACGCTTCCCGTTCGAACGTCGTCGCCTTGCTCTTGGACCTCGCCCCCCGTTCAAAGTGAGCTTCCCCTACGGAGATGGTGAACAGGTAACTTTTTCGTAGTGAGCACCAGCAAGCACCAGGAATCTAGGCAGCGTTCGGGTTCTCAGCGTCGGCTCCGATTCTGTGACATGGAACTCATCTTAGTGAAGGCCTTTCAGCCGCGGACGGGCGCGCTCACTACCCGAGCAGGCGGACGAAAAACACGCGCCCCTTGCAAGGAAATTGAAAGAGGTAGCTGTGGGGCTGAGCTTGGTTTTGGAAGGCTTGCGGAGCCATGCGGCACCTTGCAAGGCACCAAGGGACTCTTGAGAAAGATGATCGATCCACGCCAGGGTCCTTAAAGCCGGGCGGCTTCCTGCAGAACGCGACACAAACGTAGCAGACTGGCGAGGCTTCCATCTAGAGCAAGTCAGAAATCCAAATGCGGTGCGAAGAAAAAGATGCCATGTTTCCAATGGCATGGCTTCGGGGAACGTGAGCTGGAGCTCCAGGCTGACACTTTCAAGGCAATGAGGGAACGACCCCCATAAACCATCCCTTGTGGTTTCCTTCAAGGGGACCCCCAGGTTCATTCCCTTATTCCCTACTGAGCACAAGAAGAGTTGACCCCTGAGACCGAACCGAGACGATCACTTTCAGGGAGATCTTGGCTGAAAGCGACAAACCCAAAGCCGCCGGCCCCTGTCCCGTTCCCAAGAGAAGCCTCACGACAAGCATTTCAAGCCAAACCTCTCAACTAGCCATGAAATTTAGTAGGACCCAATTCACCCACACAAAGCAAAAACAAATCATAGTCCCACGCAGCCAGCAGCAAGCGCCGGAACCCATTCAACACTGGCCTGCGGCTCCACGCCACGCAAAAGCCCTCCGAAATCGAGCGCTCCATGCCCCAAACCCAATCCATCAACTGCTTCATGGAACCCTGCGGAACCTCTGGCAACCGCTCCAGACCTTAACCTGAAACCCTTCGAAACCTACCCAAGCCTTCCATGGAACCAAAACGCCCAGAGCCCGGCAACTGCTCCAAAGCCCGCAACCTGCCCTTCCACCTTCTTTCCATTCCCGGAGCCAACCCAACCTCAAAGCTGCTCACTTCGAAGCTCTTATAAAATTGGTGGACACAAATCGCGATGCTGGTGCTGTCCATTCTCCAATTAACCTCATGTCCTGTGCCTCGTAGATGCTCTCGAGCAAGTCTTCCAACTCTGCTGCTAGCCTGGTGCAGATTGCTAAAGCTATGAACACTTTAGGCAGGAAATCTAAGCCCCACCTCCATCCCCTGAAAAAAGGTTCTTAGAAAACACACCCTTCTTAGAAGGGGTTCTTAGAATGTTCAGAGAACCATTGTGGGGGTGGGGGGGGCCCGAATGTTTCTCCTGATTATGAATGTTGCTTGCTCTCATTCTGCACAAAAGGTTTTGTCATAGAGAAATATGTTCTTCCAGGACCCTCCCCCCCCAGGTTTCGTGACAACATGGGGCTATACTTCACCGACCCAAAACAAGAGAGGTGCCCAGGCAGCAGGAAGGCGAAGGCACTCAAAAAATGGTTGCTCCTCAATGGTGGCAAGCCGCGCGACGCCTTCCTCATCAAATAATACCCAATGAATTAGGTAGAAAAGGCACTTGTCAAGTTCCAGCTTGCCACAGAGCTCCTCCCACCATTGTGCTGCCTTTTGAAGGTCCTTGCAGATTCGTCCAGGAGACTGACCACGCGAGCAAAAAACGGTTGCCTGTTTCTTTGTGTCTGTTTTCTTCAAATTAAAGGGGGACTGGATTTCCTCGTCACCACTTCAACAAGTCTTGAGGATATCCACTTTACTGACCCGGAAAGGGACTTCTATCCTCACAAACCTTCGCAAACTCTTTGAGGGCAGCCGATGAGTCGGACTTTGATTTGAGAAACAACTCACCAACCGAGCGAAACCGAAAATCAAAGTCGCTGTTCACTTACGTGCAAAATATGGCCTGTGGAGATATTGGGTGCGTCGCTCTCAAAAAGACACAAAGCGCAAGAGATATCCTTCGAGATTCCCATAGAAGCGCGAGTCAAATCGAATCACTGCTGAACCTACCTGCGTAGGTGCCCTTCGAATGTTACCCCTTTTTGAGAAGTCCTAAATCGCCAACCACGTCATGCTTCAACCCCACCCCCCACACACACACACACACACACACACACACACACACACACACACACACACACACACACACACACACACACACACACACACACACACACACACACACACACACACACACACACACACACACACACACACACACACACACACACACACACACACACACACACACACACACACACACACACACACACTACACACACTACACACACTACACACACTACACACACTACACACACTACACACACTACACACACTACACACACTACACACACTACACACACTACACACACTACACACACTACACACACTACACACACTACACACACAACACACACT